CCCCTTAGTAGGTGTTAGTAACCCTAGTGTACTAGCTTTATCTCTCTAAAGACAGTATAGCTATATCTTATCTCTTCTTATAACGTCTATAAGCTATTAAAGTAAATAGTTATATATAAGCTTAAGAGGGTGCTTATCTATCTCTTATATACCTTTATAGCTACCTCTTTAGTCTGCCCTATAGCCTAATATATTAATAGACTCTAGTACCTCTAGAACTATAGCTTAGGGCGTAGGAATACTAGGATTAACTTAGCTACGTTAATAAGGATAGTAAGGTAGGTAGCTCCCTCTCCCTTTATCTTCCTGTCTAGGTGCTATATAAGGCGTATAACTAGTAGGTAGTCCTTATTAAGTATGCCTAGTTATAAGGCGTGTTATTATCTAGCTACGTCTAGTAGTTACTTTATTAGTAAAGTGCTAGATTTAAAAAGTAGGATTAGCACTAAGGTAGTACGTTATACTAGCAGGCACCTTTATATAGCTATGTTAATAGAGGTCTATATTTTTATAATATTATCTATAAGTCTGTTATAGACTAGTGTAGGCCTACTACTTATCTGTTTCTTACCCTACCTATAGTGTCTAGAGTACTAGACTTTAGAGGTATATAGCGCTTATAGGATAATAATAGTATATATTACTTTTTATATATAATATAGGGGCGCCCCTTAGTACACCTAGTTTAGCCCTCTAATATGTCTTACTATAGCCTTAGTAGTAGCTACCCTCTTCTTAATATATACTTTATATATTAACTTATAGTTAAACTATAGCCCTAGCTACCTTATAGTAGTAGCTAGGTATACTATAGTGTCTTTATATTAGATTATAAGTTATTTTATTATCTAGTGCCTAAAGAAGTGTATAACCTCTATTTTCTTATAGTTAAATATTATACTATTATCTTAACCTTAGGCTATAGTTTTATTAAGGATTACCTAGGCCTTATCCCTACTTTCCTCCTTAGTACTACTAGTGTAAAGTATTATATAGTTATCTATATACTTAAACCTTACTATTATAGGTCTAAACTTATAAAGAAGTTTAATATAGTATAGATATAGTACTAGGGATACTAGTAATCCTTAGGGTAGCTTATAGTAAAGTAGTAGTATTAAGGATATATAGTCCTTAAAGCGCACTTTTACCCTCCTCTAGGTAGTAAAAGAGTATGCCTACCTAATAACGTTATCTAGCTACCTCTATTCTTATAATACCTTAGCTAGCCTTCTGCTATTTACTATATTAAAGGCTCCTTATATATTTATTATAATTAAAGTATAGCTCCTTTTATTATCTAGTGCTGCCTTTATGTTATATACTAGTATAGCTATAATATCTATAGCTAACTACTTTAGTAGTGCTCTTATAACTTATAGGTATAAGATGCCTATACTAACGTATTTCTTAGCTAGCCTTTTTATAATAAGTTACTTTAGCCTCTTCCTTATTATTAATAGTAGGGAGATTAGCCTCTAGCCCTTTATAGTGCTCTAGTTATAGTTAGGTTTTAGAATTATAACTATCTTAGTGTCCCTAAAGGGGAGAGGGTAGTGCCCCTCCCTTAGGTATACTTTAAATAGCTTTCTTATATACTTCTTAATTAGGTGCTAGACTACCTATAGGAGGTATACTATAATACTATCTACACTAGGCGTTATATTACCTACCCTTAAGAGGGCTAATTTAGCTTCTTTTAGAGGAATCTTATTATCTTAGTTAATATGCCTTCTAGGGACTATTAGCGTATAGGGGTCTATGTCTATGTTTACGTTAAACCTTTCTAAAAGTTATTAGTAAAGTGTTATAGCTTTCTTAGTAGGTATAGTAACTATATTCTTACTGTCCTATAGAGGGGGTAATCTAAACTAAGTAGTAGGTTATTACTAGCTTATTACCTTATAGAGCTATTAGTCTATTTTTATATTATTAATTTAGTCTACTTAGTATTACGCTTTTACCTAGCGTACTACCTTCTTAAGCTTCCTTATAGCTAGTAAGATCCCTTCTAGTGTGTTATTTCTTTTTATAGCTTAGTAGGTCTGCTAGGCGCTCTAGTACTCCTTAGTCTACTATGCTACTAACTTGCCCTTAACCTGTTTAGTGCTAGCTATAGCTACTACGCTTTATAGAAGGTTAACTAAGGCTGCTACTGCCTAGTCTAGGTCTGTTATATTCTCTTAGTAGTCTAGTAAGACCTATTATAGGCGCTTAACCTTATTAATAAATACCTTTAGTTCTTTTTTTATTATAATATAAACTTTATTACTACTCTTTAGGATTAGTCTAGTAGTTATTAGTATTACTATAACTAGGGTAAAGTAGTCTAAGCCTATATATAGATAGTCTATAATATTTATTATTACTAATAGTATATTTATAAGGGAAAAGTTAAGTATATTACCTTTATTATATATTAGTAAGCCTAGAGGGCTAATAAGTAATAGTTATTAGCTGTCTGCCTAGTCTGCTAGCTAGGTAGCGCTATAGTTTAGGGTAGTGCCTAGTTACTATATAAGGTGCCTTATATTAAAGTCTCCTACTATAAGGGTGTTAGGTAGAGGTGCTTAGGCTGCTAGCGCCTAGATTACTTCTAGTGTCTGTAGCTCCCTATATATATTTATAAGGTGCTTACTTATAAGTGTTACCCCTAAGATATCTCTAGATAGTCTAGGGGTAATATTAAAAGTTATAGTATTAGTATATATTTTTTAGATATAAGTAAGTACCTATAGCCTTAATTTAGTATTTATTTAGTTCCTAACTAGTAAAAAAAGAGTATAATTTAGGGTAGTCTTAGTAATAGACCTATTATTACTAAAGTACTATAGCTCTTAAATTATAATAACGTTAAAGTGTCTTTAGTCTATAAAGGTAAAGGTAATATCTTATATTAGCCTTAACCTTTATATATCAGTATAGAATATCCTTAGTAATCTTAGTATATAGGTAATAAGGAGAGGGATATACCTAATTTAATAAGAGGTAAGGTGGTTCCCCTTTTAGAGATATCTTCTATAACTATATCTATATAGTTAAAGGCGCTAATTTTATGTCTATATCTATAAATTAACTCTTACTAAAGCTAGACTTCTAGTCCTAGACTCTTATTATATCTAGTAGTGTTATTTATTAGGCTTACACTATGTTATTCTTACTTTTATAATAGTGCTTTCTCCCCTACTATTTTATAGAGCTATTCTCCTTACTATTAGATAATTTATTATTATATCTTTATTAGTTATTTAATCTCCTGCCCTTTACGCTTTAGTGTAAGTAGGTAGTTCTTATAGTTACTCTTAAAGGGCCCTTTATAATTTACATACTATAAAGGCTTCTTATAGATCCTATTACTATACTTAACCTTTAGGTCTCTATAGGTCTTATAGAGTTATTACTATATATATAGTTAGGTTCTATACTAGTTAAAGTATATAGTGTATTAGATTAGCCTAAATCTCTCCCTTAGCTACTATACTAATAGGCTATTAAATAGTCTAAATAGCCTTATGTTATCTCTAAGCGTAGTAATTTATATCTATAGAGGCTAGTCCTTAGTAGCCTTAGTTATATAGAGCCTAGCTAGTGCTTAGCTAGTTACTACCTATATCTTTATTTAGACTATATCCTTTATAATTACTACTATATTACCCTTATAGTTATATGTTATTATTAGGACCTCTTTAATCCTATAGAACGTCTAAGCCTAAGAACTATTAATAGAAGTTATACTAAGCTATTTAAATAGCTTAAAGTAGCTATTAAATATAGCCTATCTTACTTTATAACTATTTATAGTAATTATAAAACTAGTTAGAATCTTAGTTATATTTTTAATCTCTAAAGCTTAAATCTTATAGATTTTAGTAATATCTCTATAAATAATAAAAGTTAGAACTTTATTAACTAGTATTTATATAAAAATATAATTATTAATATAGTAGCTCTATAATTATCCTTATATATTTCCTAAGTAAGCTATAGGTCCCTAACTATAAGGTCCCTCCTAGACCTCTAGAGTCTAGCTCTATTATTAGGGCTAGGCCTAGGTGTATTAGGGTAGCCTGTTTCCCTAAGCTAACTATAGTAGTTATTCTAGGTAAGCTAGCTCTCCCTATAGGACTAGGGAGGGCTAAGGTCTAGCTAGTTAAATATCTCCTTTAAGGGTACTAACTAGTAGACAGGCGTAGTAGTCTATAGCCTAGTAGTGTTATCATTTTAATCTTATTTATTATAGTGTCTCCTAGAGGTTATTAATAAGGGTGTTAGTAATATATTTAAAACTGTTATTAAGTGCTATAATCTTACTTAACTTCTCTTCTAGTCTCTAAGTTATGTCCTTATCTAGTCTGTACTATAAGGCGTCTAGCCTTAACTTTACCTTAAGCGTCTATAAGAGCCTTAAGTAGTCCTTTAGCTTCTTTATTACTACGTTATCTAGGCTAGAGGTTATTAACCTCTTTTATTTTAATAGTAAACCTTTACTAATAATAGAGCTTACTATTATAAAGATAGCTGCTACTAGTGGCCGGACGCCTGGCTGTGGTGTTACTAGGGGCGGCAGAGCCGGCCTATTAGGGGCTGGCATGGTGGGAAGAGAAAATTTTTCATAAGTAATGTGGGTGTTAAGGAAATAGGTGTAGTGCACGCTTAGAGACTAACAGTTCTAAAACGTAACAGGTGAATAGAAGGGAAGGTTGAGTGCCAGTTCTGAGACCGATACTAATGCGGTCGATTCTAAGGCTTCATCCTACGATATCGTCAAACAACTAGATATCGAATCTTACAGGCCAAGTATAGAGGGAGACCTATGGTATTTGTCCGAGACTGATCTCCAATTCCTTTAAGACGGCACTGGCGTTCTGGGAGTCGGAAGTTGTGGTGATTTATATCCCAGTTATATCGCGTGTGCACACGCACTAGCCAAGGGCGATGATATTACGATCCGCAGGCAGGACACGCTACCTGATGATGCAGTTGTACTGATCGCTGGCTTTATGGTGAGCGCTCTCCTATTCTTGCAGTCTTTCGGTCTTGTGGCTAACCAAACCCAGGGATCTCCCACCGTCTATCTAGAACAAGTCCCTGGCATAAATGAGTACGTGGCTTGTTTCACAGCTAACAGTTAACTAACTGAAATAGGGTTACCGATGCTATAAAGGCAGTACTCAAGACGACCAATATCTTGTCATTTGACGCTGTTATTCCTAACGAGATAGGAGGAATGAATTCTTTTGAGGCACTCTAAGCGGCATAGCGTTTTAGCAAAAGTGTCCTAGACACTAATTGTGTAGGACGAGCCTACCCGTTTCTATAGCAAACGGTGCGCTGCCTTAAAGACATCCCTCTTGTTCCAGCAGCTAATTGTCAGGTGCCTGGAGCGGGGCCCTAGGGGGGCACTAGAGTAGGACTAGGACTAGATAAACTAGTTACTAAAGGAATAATAAAAAAGGAAAACTCTATAGAAGATAAGGGTTAGAGGAGGTATATTAGAATAATTATTATAATTAAACCTTAACTACGCCTATTACTAACTTTTTTACTTAATACTATCCCTACCTCTAATACGTTTTAATATCTCCTTATCTTTAGGTGTATTAACTACTAAAGTAGTAATAATACCTACTAGATCCTAAACTATAGCCTAGTAATAAGGGAGCGCTATAATAAGATAACTAATACTTAATATAACTAAGTCTATACTAGTAAATAAGTAGTATGTTATTAACTTAAGTAAGCTATTAGAGGAAAAGCTAAAGGCTTTTCTAGAGGAGAAAGTAAAAAAGGTAAAAAAAAAGAAAATAATTAATTAAATTAAGGCCTTTTAAAGTAGTATATTTATAAAAGATATATAAAAGGAGATAAAGATAACTACTAATCCTTAACTAAAGACTAAGTAACCTTATACTAATATACTCTTAAAAAGATTACTTACCTTAAGGTATAAGGGGAGAAGCTAAAATAAACTATAAGAATTCTTATTTTAGTTAGAAATACGTTTTAATATAGTAAGAGATAAGTTTATAACTAATAATAATAAGATAAGATATACTAGTACTATACTAAAAAGTAACTTAGTATATAAATAAAAGAAGTATATAGGTTTTTATTATAAAAGTAAGATTAGTAAAGTGCCTTAAGAAGTTATAAAAGACTAGCTAAAAGTAGATATTACTAATAATAATATATAGGCTTTTAGTACTACTATAAAGCTAAACACTATATAATAAGCCTTAAGCTAGTTATACTAATAATTTATTAATAAGTATAAAATAGTTAAGAAGGAGTGCCTTAACCCCTAAATAGAGAGGTAGTAAGTAGTTTATATTTTAAACTAAGTACTCTTAGACCTAAAGACTTATATACTTACTAAGGGGCTACTAGCTACCTACTAGAAGTTAGATAATATAGTAAAAAAGGTAAAAACACTTACTAAGACTTATATAAAAGAGGTATTAAGAGGATAGCTAAGGTAAGGTTAAAAGAGAAAAGGCTACTAAGAGGTAGTAGTATAACTAATAATTATAAACGCCCTCTTAACTAAAGCTATTAGTATATATATAATATTAATAGCTATAATATTAGTAAGTATACTTATATTAAAGCTAGGGGTTAAAAAAAAAAAAAGTATAACACCTTAGCTAAAGGGGACCTAAGGACTACTTACTTATTATAACTATAAGAAGCCTAGGCACTAGTTAGTTAGGTATAATAAAAAGAAGTACTATAAGTATAAATAACTATAATATTTAGGGAGATAGTACGCCTTAGTGTTAATAAGGGTTAATAGTATTAAGCTCCTTTAAGATAAAAGACTATATTACTACTTTAAGGTAGATTTTTATACTAAAATAAGTAGTATATAAAAAAAAAAGAAAGTATTAATTAATCTTAGTGTAAATAAGAATATACTATACTAAAGAATATTATATATAAAGGTACTAATAGAAGTAAGCTAAAGGGGCCTAACGCTTTAAGGTATATAAAGAGGTAAGGCCTTAGACTATAGAATAAAGAGGGTAGTAATAAAAGTTATAGATAATATAAAAGTCTTAAGGACATAAAGCTATACCTTTTAAGTTAGTAATATAGCTAGGTATAATACTATCCTAAGGATCCTCTAGGGATAAGTAGTATAACTAAATATAAAGTAAATAATAATTAGTTAGATATACTTACTAAAAAAAAACTACTTCTAACTTATCTAAAGTAAGTAGGAAATTAAAAAGGTATATAAGGAGTTAAAAGCTATTCTAGCTTATTAACTAATAATCTACTACCTATAATATAGAGGGGATAAAGGAGCACTAAAGATACCTTATTATAACTAAAAAGAAGAAGTAGAGGCTAAATAAGATAAAAGAATAAAGGCTACCTTACTAAAGGCCTATAAAGAATAGGTATATATATTTAATATAAGCCTAGTAGCCTAGCTAGTAGGTAATAAAGGCTACTTATATATAATTAATTTAGAGCTAGGGGTAAAGGCGCTATTTAGCCTTATCTACCTATTAGCTAAGAAAAAACTAAAGGAATTAAAGATATATATTAATAAGTTACTTAAGAAAGGCTAAATTAGACACTTTATAAGCCTAGTAGGGGCACTAATCCTCTTTATTCTTAAGAAAAAAAGTAAGCTATATCTTTATATAGACTATAAGGGGCTTAATAAAGTAACTATTAAGAATTATATACTACTACTCCTTATTAGTAAGATCCTTAACTATTTAGTAAAAGTAAAGTAGTATATAAAGCTAGACCTAAAGGATATATATTACTAGGTAAGAATTAAGGTAAATAATAAATAAAAGATAGCCTTTTATACTTACTATAAACACTTTAAATATTATATTATACTATTAAAGCTAGTTAATATACTAGTAACGTTCTAGGTGTATATTAATAATACTTTTACTAGGCTAGTAAATATTATATATATTATCTACTTAAATAATATCCTAATCTTTATAAAGGATAAAGAAAGTTATATAGAAGTAGTTAAGTAGGTACTAAGCTAGTTAGATACTATAGGGCTATATATAAACCTTAAGAAGTATATTTTTTATACTTAGTCTATTAGGTTCCTAGGTTTTATAGTATCTAATAAAGGGATTACTATAAAGTATAAGTAAGTATAAGTAATAGTAAAGTAGCTACTTCTTACTAGCGTTAGGGAGATCTAGGTTTTCTTAAGGTTTATAAGATTTTACTAGTAATTTATTAAAAACTACTCTAAGGTATATACACCTTTAATAAATAGGCTAATATTTAAGGTAGTAAGGGAGTAAGTAATAATATAGAAAGTAAAGAAGGCTTTCTATAAGCTTTACGCCTTATTTACTTAGGCCTTAATCCTTTAGTATTTTAACCTTAAGTTACTTATATAAGTTAAGATAAATATATCTAACTTTATAATTAGTATAGTAATATATTAGCTCTATAAGGGAGTATAGCACCTAGTAGCCTTTATATTATAAAAGCTATAAGGAGTAAAACTTTATTATAAAGCACTAGAGGTAAAGCTACTTATAATCTATAAGGTAGTAATTTACTAAAGACACTACTTACTATATACGTAATATTAAATAGTGTTCCTAACAGACTATTTAGGGCACTACTACCTAGCTGCTAAGCCCTAACTTAATAGTTATTAGGCCTAGCTACTATAAGATTTATTATTATTTAACTTTAAGATTAAGTACTAGCTTAAGAAGGATAATATAGTAAATAGGCTCTTATAATAGCTAGACTACTAGCCTACTAAGGAGGAGGAGAGGGAAGCGTATAGTATATTTTTAGTAGATTTCTTTAGTAAATTTAGAAAATAGGTTATAACGTTTAGACGTAGTAAGTTACTAAGTCTTAGGTTACTAGACTAAGGATAACTTACTACTAACCTAAAAAATAAGATTATTATAGTATAACTAGTAGATAAGTAGGCCTAATTAGAAAGGTAGTAATAACTAAGTAGTTAATAAATAAGGGGAGAGGATAAAGCACTATAGTATAATAAAAGACTATTTATTTCTAATAGGTATATAATAAGGATAAAGTTACTAGTAGTATTTTATAATAAGCTAGCTAGAGGTTACCTAGAAGTAAACTATACACTTAAATATATTAAATAAATATATTTCTAGAAGTTAATAAAGAAAGACGTTAAGAAGTATATAAAGACTTATATAATATACTAGTAAACTAAACTAAGGTACTACCTACTATATAAAAAGCTAGCGCCCCTACTAGTGCCTAGCTAGCTATAGGAATATATAACTATAGACTTTATTATAAAGCTACTAAAGTTAAAAGGCTTTAATAGTAAGGTATATAATAGTATTTTAGTAGTAGTAAATAAGCTTATAAAGTATACTATTTACCTACCTACCTAAAAGACTATTATAGCAGACTAGCTAGTAACCTTCTTAGTAAATAAAGTGTTCTTAAGATTTAGTATCCCTATAGTAATAATATTAAATAGAGGATCTCTATTTACTAGCTATTTCTAAGTAGTAGTGTACTACTAGCTAGCTATTAAGTAGAAACTTAGTACTACTTACTACCTTTAAATAAATAGATAAATAAAGTAGTAAAATTAAAATATAAAACACTTCTTATAAGCCTTTTATAATATAAAGTAAGATAATTAGGTTAAATAGCTTCTAATAGTAGAATTTATTTATAATAAGGTATAGTATAAAGTAACTAAGGTATTACTAGTAGAAGCCTTTATAGGTTACACCTTATAAAACCTTTATAATATAAGACTAATAGGATAGAAACTAGTAGAGGTCTTTATAGCCTATAAAAAGGTTAAGAAGCTAAAGAGCTAGAGGGCTACTATTATTAGTATACTAAAGTCTATAAGCTAGACCTATAAGAAGTAGTATAACTAAAAAAAGATAGATATTAAGTTTAAAGTAAGGAAAAAAGTCTTATTATTAGCTAAATTTATTAAGTAGAGATAACTATTAAAGAAGCTAGTAAATAAGTATCTTAAACCCTTTATAGTAATATAAGTAGTTACTAGTAAGAAAGCCTATAAGCTAGATATAAAAATAAAGTACTATATTTATAATATATTCTTATTATCTTAGCTAGAGAAGTTTAAGGGAGCACTAGTAAAGCCTTAGCTTATCTAAATTAAGAAAAAAAAAATATATATATATAAAGTAAACTAAATAGTAGTATATAAAGGACTATAATAAAATAAGTAGTACTTTATTAAATAAAAAAGATATAGTAAAAAAAAAATTTTATAAGAGCTATAAAGAAATATATCTAAGGATTTATAATAAGACTATAAGTAAGGGGTTACTAAGGGGGTATAAAAAGGACACTAAGTAGAAGTAAGTACTTAGCTTAGGGGGCTAGATTTTTTTTATTATTTTTTAGCACTAAGGCTAGGAAGTATATAGCCTAAGGGCTAGATATCTAAAGCCTATAGTAGCTAAGAAAAAAAAATAAAACTAAGAGAAGGCCTAGGGGGAGGGGGGTACTAAGGGGGTAGTAGCACTTACTTCTCCTTTTTATCTTTACCTCTACTAGGCGTACTAAAGGCTATATTACCTCTAGACTAAAAGTTAAGGTTAGTAAAGTACTAAAATAAAAGTTAGTAACTAAGGAGTAGTAAGAGGTTACTAAAAAGGGAATAATATATAACCTAAAAGTAAGTAGTAGCCTACTTAAAGAAAAAGGCGCCTTAGGCCTTAATAGCCTTAGTCTACTCCTTAAGGAGCGTATTCTAGTGCTAAAGCGCTATAGTAGCTACCTTAGCTAACTTAGCTAGGGAGGTAATAGTAGTAATAAAAGCCTTAAGGGCTATAACCTTATAGTTATAAAGGAGCTACTTTTTCTCCTTAGCCTTAGCCTTATACTTAGCGTTAGGGGCCTTAGTAGTATTTACCTTCTTTTAAAAGGCTTTTTTAACTATAGTCTAAGTAGTAGTAACCTCCTTTTATATAAGAGGTTAGTTAGGGGGTAGTTATAAAGTATTAAGAGGAATATACTTTATAGTAGTAGTAATTAATATATATAGTACTATTATAGTAAAAGGCCTTAAAGATATTCTTAAAGGTAAAAGTAGTAAAGGTTATAGTATAAGTAGCCTATAAGAGGTTAGTAAGAGGTTACTAAAACACCTCTTATTAGTAAAAAAAAAAAAAAATATAAAAATACTTACTTAAATATACTTCTTACTATATATTTTAGTATACTAAAAGTACTTATTACTAGTAGCTAATAGTATAATTAAGACTAAAATATAAGTAAAAAGGGGCCTTTAGGGGGCACTAAGGCGTTAAATACTTACTAGTAGTCTTAAGGTAGTAAGAAAACTTAGCCTTAGTGTTAGCTATATTTATATACTAAATAAATATAGCCTAAAGGTAGTAGTAGTATAAAATAAAATAAACTATAGTATAGTTATTTTTATTCTTTTTATTTAAAAAGCTAATAAACTAAGGGGGTAATAAGAGGGTAGTAGTAAGGCCCTTAGTGCCCTTAAGGGTAATAAAAGTAGTAGTATTAGTAGTAGTAATAGTATTAGTAAGTATAGTAGTAAATATAATAGTAGTAGTAAAAAAGCTAGTAGTACTAGTATTATTACTAGTACTATTATTATTATTATTACTACTAAGTAGTAGTAATAATAATAGTAGTAAAAAAAAAATAATAATAATATAAAAGTATTATAAAAAAAAAAAAATAAGTAATAAAGAAATTAATAAAAACCTAAGTTAATTTAAATTACTTATTTTAAGTTAGTATTAAAAAAAAGGCTAGTTATAATAATAACTTAAGCTTATAAAGTTAAGACTAAATAAGCCTTAGTAAGAGAGGCTAGCTAAGACTAAGGGGTTACTAGTACTAACTATAAAAAGTAAAATAAGAATTTTTTTTTATTATAAAAGTAGTATAACTTAAGGCTTAATAAATAGTTAATAAAAAAGCTAAATATTATAATAATAAAAATAATAAAAAGTATATAGTACTTAAGAAGGTACTATAAAGCCTAGTTAATAAAAAGTATTAAAAGGTATTATAAGTAAATAAAGTGTCTTTATTATAAAATAAGTAGTCCCTTACTAAGTAAAGTAATATAAGACTTATACTTTAGGCTAAAAGACTAAACTACACTAAGGGGGTAGTAGTTAGGGCTTAGCTAGAATATAATAGTATAAAGGTAAGGCTAAAAGTAAATAGTTAGCTAGGGAGATAACTACCTATCTAGCAGCCTACTAGGCCTAGTAGGCGTTCCTAGATATCTCTTAAGATACTAAAAGATAAGTATAAGGCATAAGGCTTAGCTATTAGATAGTTTAAGCAGCTAATAAGGGGACTACTAGTAGGTAGCTAGCTTAAGGCCTTAAGAGATTAGGAGTTAGGCATAAGGCTTAGCTATTAAATAGTCTAAGCAGCTAATAGGGGAGCTACTAGTAAATAGCCTACTTAAGGTCCTAAGGGCAGGACCTTAGAGGGGGGGGATTATATTAGGTGCCTAAAGCAGGGCCCTAGGGGGGTACTAGAGTAGGACTAGGACTAGATAAACTAGTTACTAAAGGAATAATAAAAAGGGAAAACTCTATAGAAGATAGGGGTTAAAGGAGGTATATTAGAATAATTGTTATAATTAAACCCTAACTACGCCTATTGCTGACTCCTTTACTTGATACTATCCCCGCCTCTGACACTAATGCAGATGGAGCAGGTGAACCAAAGGTATTGTCTGCTGTGGTCTCTAGTTAAGACTTAAAAACTGACTTATGACCAGATTTTCGCGACCGCCAAAGATAACTTTGAGACTGAGGAACTGATGCGAAATGCCTGTACTGATCTAGGATCTTTGGCAGGTCTCTGTGTCAACCCTCTAGATGGTATTGAAGCTTGTTCTCTGCCTAGAAACAGCTTTTCTCTGGGTAAGACATACTCTTGACCCCTGCGACATTTATTAACACTTTATACAGCTTGGAGTATTGGTTGTTTGATCGCCGTCTCCCGTGGCCACAAGCTCGACCCTGTAACAATGCTGTTAAAAGAACAAAACGGTGTCCTACTCTTCCGCGGAAAGATCACTTCAGTCACACGACAGATTGCTAGGGGATTTACTAGAGGCAGTGTCCTTCTCTCCTCTTTTGACGGCAACACCTCATCCAGCACTTCGCTTTTTGTCGAATTCGAAAACGAGAACCTCTGCGCTGTCCTAAAACAAGAAGGACAACAAGACAAAGCCATCGCAGTAGTTCCGGACATCATCTGTTTCCTAGACATTGCCAATGGTGCCCCATTGGGAATCTCAGACTACAAGTTCGGGCTGAGAGTCAGTGTTGTTGCGCTGAGAGCGCCGCCAATCTGGGCAACGGAGAAGGGATTGAAAATGGGCGGGCCATCAGCATTTGGGTATGTGCTAGCAACTCGTTCCAGTCACGTGAGGCTAATGAAGAAAACAGACTCAATGTGGAATACAAGCCTGTCGGCACTGAGGCATATGAGGCCCCGAAGAGCGTTTGGGAGATGTTTGGGGCGGAATAAATATGCTCGCTTGGGGGACTATATTTATGGGAAATAACTAGAGTGTTATTGAATTTACCGATTTGTCAATCTTCGAGTTGATTATAGCACATTAGTCATATGTATTCGCGATCTATCTTGCCCCGGAGAAATAGAGTCTAGTCCCCATTTCCTGAGGAGGGCGGATACCCAATCGTCGCTGGTGGTAGTGTCGAATTGGTTACTTGGCCAAGCTTTAACATCCTCACTTGTCCCTTTTCACAACAATTAGAGCACTTCTATCTCACACCCTAAACGCTTGTGCAGGCGAAATCGTAGCCGAGCAGTAAGCTGTAGCCGCCTCCTGTGTTGCAGAGCGTTTCCGTAGAGCTACCGTCCTCAAACAACGCCGGAACACAGGTCTCGACCGCCTTGTTAGTGGCCCTGTCGACCACGGCAGTGACCTCTGGGGTGGCGGTCCATGGAATGTCGTCGTCGACGCACGCAAGCTCGAGTTCGTAGTAGGTGATGCCGGTGTTGACGTCGGTGACGTTGAAGGGGTTCCGGCAGACGGGCCCGGTGGCGTACCCGCTGCTGACCGCCCGGATGGCGTTCCACGTCCGCGTGCCAGTGGACGGGTCACAGAAGTCGTAGAGGTCCTGCGTTGTAGTCGGCGTGAAGGGGGACCAGGCAACGGATAGGTTCTCGCGCATCACAAGAACGTGCCCCAGGTTGATTGGGGGGAGCGAGGCCGAGGTGACGGCCGCAAATGAGGCGGTGCCAAGAAGAACAGAGAGCTGCATTGTGTTTCGACCTTGAGGTACAAGTGTTATTGGTAAAACAAAAAGGAGGATTGAATGGCGGTGATAGACAAGAGCAAGATGGGCAAAGCACATATTTGGTCTGCTTTTCTTGACACCTATATAGCTCGTTGGGAGCTTGGCGTAACCTTGACCTCTATAGAAGCCCCCCTCTGCATCGTCAACATCTGACATTTGTGTCGGGCGTTTCTTACATTCAGTGGCCCGTTTGTCGAGATTCGCCCGACCACTGCGCCCGTATTCCCTTCAAGTCAAAAGTGCCAGTCGCAGGATGCTAGCCAATCAGAGCTGAAGTCTATCAAGTCAGATTTTAGGAACGTGTGGCACATTTGAATCCCGACACGAAGCCGCTTGAGAAGTAACAGTCTCTGTATGGTACGACGGTCTTATTCCTCCCACCAAGCGATGATACCTTACCCCCGACTCGAAGGAGAGGTCTTCCTACCGGCTTCAACAAATGAATCGATAAGATTTGCAGTAAAAGCCTGCGTCCTCATTTAAGTCATCTTGCGAAATAATTACACATGTTGTTTTGGTTATTGGCGCTGATAGCTAGTGACTGGGTCTGCCTGGAGTTATTAATCCTAAAGCAACAAAAAAACAAAACTGGGGGAGTGGATGTCATCCTGACAGCGTTGCAGTGACGGCAAACTGATTGTATTTCCTATGAGATGTAGCGTTTGCATGCATGGTGGAGGCGAAGTGCGAGGTGCAGATGCAAATGTCTGCATTGGGGAGCATGTCAGCACGATGGAATGGGACTTTGGTAATTAGCCGGTCGATACATCGAGATGTCTGCCCCAAACATATGATGTCAATTAGCTAGAGAGGGGGAAATGCAGTATGACAACCGCAATCCTTCCCAGCCAGACTTCAATCTCGTATCATACAGTTTCCCCTTTCTGGCCACAGGAGGCAGGCATAGTTACGGGACTACAATGAAAAGGCTTCAGGGTGGTCTTCAAACTAACCTTGGGCAATTGAATTCGGTTTCCATCGACAAAGAGGCTGCGACTTTCACTTTTGGTGGAGGGACTCGCATGAACAAGCTTCTTGGTCCTGTCAGTGATGCTGGGTTCAAAATGTTTAAGTGTCCCTTCCGTCAGCTGTGAGTCTTTGTCTAACACGCTCGGCTCTGGAAGGATGCTCCTGTCCTAGAATAGTCAGCATCACGCCTGGCGCCAGCGTTTACCACTGGCAAGGAATTCACAGGCTTTTCTTGGATGTGTTACAGTCCGTACAACGCAGTCTTCTGTGTAAGAGACGCTGCTAGTGACATCTCAAGACAACAGTCTTTCATCAACATGACCCTGACTAATTAGGTCATTGTCGCCAAACAATCTATCAGTGCTAGTGATGTACTAGTAGCACTACTGTCAACATTATTTATATAGCCTAGGGCCCTGCCTGTAGCCATAGAGATTGCCACTCTATAACACTGTAAAAGGTTACATAGATATATGATAATAAATTATCAGAAGTAAGAGCACTAAGCACACGAGAGGCATGTAGAATTAGATGATTAAGAAAGGCTTATTTCTCTAGCAATAGTAACGTAAAGAAAGGATCCTAAACATACATATGTAATTCAAGTAATAAGTGAAAGACCACTTGATATGGCACCTGATAGACCACCTGACGGGCCCTGTATGAAGCTATTGCGATACAAATGCACTGGCTGCCGCTTGATATACATTGTCAGGTGCGAAGCTGTAGTGGGTAACAAAGTTTATTAGATAGTCTTCACCTCTGCCACCAGACCCACCAAGGCTTAGTACAGGGAACAGTGGGCGTTGGCCTCCCAGAGCGTATGTTGGTAGGCACGAGCAGCAACGTTACGCCAGGCAGGGGACCTTTAGCAGTCTTCGCTGTGAGCCTGACTTTCGTGAAGACGCACTGGATCCCAAAAGGCAGGCCTGCGAAGCCTCAGTGTGTGCCTGGAGAAGCGTGCTGCTGGTTACCTTTCTGTAGTAGCCAGCACTAATGATAGAGAGTCTCCGGAAGGCTATGAGGGCTCGGTATATGATGGGTTTGTCAACTCATATCTGGTGTGCGAGAATCGCACCAAGGTCTCTGTGATAGATACTATCTATTGTCTAGCATAATGGATATTTTACTAGGCTTTTCTTTGGCTGTTCTGTTGTGCTTGGGTAATATAGCCCTTGAACTATTGCGCAGGAATTTGCTTCATAGACATTTCATCAAGTTCATCTTATGATCTTCCAGCAACTTCAGGTTGGTAAAACCAGAGATATACCGTGGATAATACCAAAAGGCCACCAAATATAAATGCCACTTTGGCTCCAAGGTCTGCCTGATCGGGATTAAAAAGGAATGGGATAATAAATGCCCACATAGTCTACACATTATTATTTTAGTAGGGGCTTCAACTGTAACATTAGATCTTTGTATGAAGAGCGACTTACGAAGAGTCCGTTTTGAAGAGCTAGAGCAATGGCTGCAGTCTTGGCTCGAAGACGCAAAGTTGCGATTTCGGTCAATAGAGAGTAGGCTACCGCGCCAATTGTAATATTGTAGATGAAGCAATACACCAACAGCAAAGCAACAGCTACTTTTATAGCTCCAGGTGTGGACGTGACAGCCAAACCGCCGGTTATCATCAAAAGGATGGTGAATGTGCACATGCCCCAAAATGTGAGGCCGCGGCGACCGACCTTGTCAATAAGGAACCAGGAGGTGATATTCCCGAGCATAGAGAGAACCTGTTGTACAATTGCAAGTGTAAAGCTTTTTTTCGCAGAGTATCCAGCAAGCTGCTGGTAGTATGTTGAGTAAGCGGAGACGAAAAAAGCGCCACACAAAGCTTGTATGCTCAAGGGAGCAACAGAAATGCTGGTTCGGCGAAGGTTTGGCTTGCGGAAGCACTCGGCGAAGCTAGCACCCTCAGTTTCCTTACGCACCTCGGCAAGAGTCCGAGTAATAACGGAAAGTCGCTTCTCGGCCTGGACAGTATCGTATCCGAGACGGCTTAGAGATCTAGCGGCCTCCTGCGTGTCACCCTTGTTGACCAGCCACCACGGCGACTCGGGCATCTCCAATCTGTGACGGAATCACCGTGGACGTTTTTGCTTGATAAGCCGTCAGCATCGCCTTTGTTGCTGACTCCATTAATTACGTCAGAGCATTGGAAACAGAAAGAATGGAATGTGGCTGAACCGTATATAATGAATTAAAAGAAATTACGATCTGGCTCAGGTTTTCTCTAAAATACTCCGAACTGACTTAGTCAACGCTCTTTTACCAGAACCCAGCATCTCGACCACCCTCAGTTCTATCCTCGCCCCAGAACCGGCCTTCACCTATCATGGCTTCTTCCAGCATCTCAGAGAGCAAACTCTTCAAGCCACTCAAGCTTGGCAATGTTCAACTCCATCATCGTATAGCTATGGCGCCATTGACGCGATATCGCAACGACACCAACCATGTTGCCATGCCTTTCGTCCAGAGATATTATGGCGAGCGCGCTTCAACCCCAGGCACACTCATCATCTCGGAAGCTACTGGCACTTCAATGCAGGAGACGGGCGTACGAAACGCCCCAGCCATAGTGACCGACGAACAAGTCGAGGCTTGGAGAAAGGTCATAACTGCGGTTCACGAACAGAAGTCGGTGTGGTTCCAGCAGATTTGGGGCCAGGGACGGGCTTCTGATCCTGAGTATCTGAGAGAACGCGGTTACGAATTCCGGTCCTCTAGTGCTGTATCAATGGAACCCGGAGCGCCGGTACCTAAGGCTATGACAGAAGATGAGATTTCGGGCGTGATACAGGACTTTGTGGACACCGCCAAGCGAATTGTCGCTGCCGGTGGTGATGGAATTGAGATTCATGGTGCCCATGGTTACCTTATCGACCAGTTCCTCTCGGACTCGATTAACCAACGAAACGACAAGTGGGGAGGTTCAATCGAGAACCGATCCCGGCTCCTCCTTGAGGTGGTCAAGGCAGTAGTTGAAGCCATTGGTGCTGAGAAAGTAGCACTCAGGCTATCACCATATGCTACCTTCCAAGGCTCGAAGTCATCGGACAGTCATGGTCAGTACACCTATATTGTCAAGGAGCTGAAGAAGATGAATGTTCCCTTGGCCTACCTGTCGCTGGTTGAGGCCCGTGGCGACCCTGCTATGCTTCTGGACCCTGAGCAGAATTCGGCAGCTTCTCAGCAAACGCTTGACTTCATCCTTGAAGTTTGGAACAATATGTCCCCTGTCATTGTGGCTGGGAACTACAGCCCAGAGACTGCTGCTCGGGCATTAGAGGAGCAGTACGAAAAGTGGGATGTTGTTGTCGCTTTTGGGAGGAGTTTTCTCGCGAACCCTGACCTCGTTTGGCGTATCAAGCATGGTGTGCCGCTTTCGAAATATCATCGACATTCCTTCTATATCAAGGGTTCTGAGATTGGTTATAACGACTATACCTTCAGTCAGGAATATATCGACGCTCGGAGGGAGTGGGCTGTCGAAAACTTAGACTCAAACTCTAAGTAGTAATCGCCACAGATGTGGCGCGCAAACCACTCGGAGAGGTATTTTTACCTGGCATTGTCTCATGTGTAGATTCCAGAGGGTTAGATTAACTACATTACATTCTTCCTTGCAGATGCTGCGGTTCATCACCCATAGTTATGCCTCCGTTAACATTTTCCCTGGCCTCAATGCCATTCTCAGGCCAGCGATCATCTAACAACGAAAAGTCCTTTTGGCTTCTTTGAGGTTGGTGCAGGAGTCTTGCGACGCTCAATGTTAGCACTAGACAAGTATAGCATGCCCTTTGGCGCCCTTGCCCCGTCCGTATGGCTGATGAATATTGCCTACTCAGTCAATTAGAGCTCCATATACATGTTGAGCACATCGCCGCTTGTGTCTTCCCAAGGTTCCCAGCCATAGCGCTTGTAATCTGGTATGTTCTAAATCTTATTGGGCATGTAGGCCACCTCGCGTGATGACAAATCCTTATTGAGCCTCAGGTGCGTTCTACTCCAAGCACCATCATACCCCAGGGTAGTGAATTGTTCTGGCTCCCCAAACAGGCTGAAGTTCTCTTCAGCCGCGCGTCGCTTGATAGCCCTGGCGATAGTATGGATTTGCACTCTGAAATGCCATCTGCCACTGCCACTGCCATAGTTTGACCTAGGACTGGAGTTCCTCGAGTAGATCTTGATAGGCACTGACACGCTGATAGTTGTCTTTGTGAGAATAAAATTATATTTTTTTTGGCTGTACCCCACGACAATAAGTACATGAAGCAGGTCTCCATTTGTGTCCTAATACTACATTGTTGTAGCGTATCTTCCCTGCTTTAGTAACAGCTATTGAGCCGTCCGAAGTTGTATTGCCAACCCCTGAATTCAAGCACTGCAAAATCATTGCCGATAGTGACACAGCTACTCCTAAAGATCTGTTCTTAGGAAGGTATGTTATTGGTATGACCCTAACGGTCTTGACTACTTTCTCAACCCGTTGATGATGATCACTGGCCAGGTCAGGCCCAGCCCTTGCAGTGCAGGCATCTGGAACAAAGATTCTTTGGAGAGGCTCTTCACCTCAAATCGAGGCAACAAAACAGAGAGGCCATTTACAGTGGTTTTGGGATGATTAACGCACCTTCAATCTTTACTCAGGCCGCCCTCTAAAAACAACCCACAGATCAACCCACCACCCAGACTCAAGCATCAAAGCTATCTAGTTCCGTAACTACGTTATAGAGAGAAAACGGCTAAGCCTCCAAGATACGTTCACCAAGCCCAAACAACAGACAGACACTATGCCCTCTTGTAAGATGGTTATTTCCAGCACACCTAGCAAGTTGGCTAACAGTAGATCAGGCCATGAAACCCTGAATTGGATAGACAGGCATCACGCCCAGATATTACAGACAGAAACCCGCTGTAGTCCGCTCAACACACCGTTGTTAGGCGAGAAACTTTGCGCAACCTTGCGGCAAAATCAAGTCCAAGAGTCCAGTCAAGAAAAACAGCAAGCAGAAGGTTCCATTCAGAACTAGACTCGGGGAGAACCCTCTACCAAACAGAATGCCTGTTTAGTGGTCAAAACAGAAAGCCCAAGAAGAGTCAAGCCTGGTCCTCCAAAGGTCCCTAGTCGTAATATAAAGACATTTAATCCTACCAATGTGTCTCCAAGCCCCTTTTAAGGCCAAAGCGTGTACTATTGGTGATATGGCCAGTCTGTAGGGAAGGAAATTCAACACTAGCTTTTTCCAGTAGCAGAACAAAGCATCCAGCACGGAAAACACCAAAAGGATGTTTCTTCAAGACAGTTTTCAACGGTAACAAAAGTCTGTGTCAATTCGTTATTTGTCTTCTGCGTCTTTCTTTGACCCAGAAGTCAATCAGCTCAGTTACGCACCATCACATCACTTTTTCGCCACCTATCTTTCCAGATGTTCCTGCTGCTGGTGGAGTAAAAGAGGACCCTTCTTCTTCAACTGAACTTGAAGTAGGTGATTCAATACTTCCACCAGCTAATAAACGTGCCTATACCGTTTCTAGAATACTTCAAGCCCCAAGACTAGAAACCTCGAAAGCTAGAATTCGAGGTTTCTTCCTGAGTCAGCTTCACAGCTCGTAGTTCTAACACCAACTAGGACTCGAGAGTAAACACGTCCAAGTAACTGGCTAGCCCTACGTTATCAAAACTTCATAAACAGCGAGTTTTGCTCTTATCTAGGGAAATATCTGCCTCATTTAGACTCGGCAGATTCCTTACTCAACTAAAGGTTTCATGGATATTATCTATGAAGCCCAGAAATTTACAGCCTCGTATGTTTAGCATTAGTGAGCAACAAAGCTTGGATCATGAGGTTCTTGGTCTGTATGAGCTTCAATCAGACATCTCCAACAGACAGCAATGTCTCCAAAGAAAGCAATACAATGTTTATATTCTTGTTGGATCAAGAAGCAGCGGCTAGTCCTGCAACCCAAATGTTGTTTGCCCTTATAATTTCAGGAGGCGGGTCAAGATGTTCTGGTCAAGTATCTGACGTAACAAATTAAATGTCAGCCTGCTAGTTGCGGTCACAAATATATGCGAAGCCGACAGAAGCCAAGCTTTCCCTTTCGATTTATAGAACGTCAATGCCGGCAACCCATCGACCGCCGTCTCGCACAGCAATAACAGATTTCACTTGAACGACTTCGGGATCGATCTCGCCTGTCTGTCTATATTTAATGACCGAGCCTAAGAGGTATTTTCCAGTCAGTGAATGATAGACGTAACGAATGTCTTCAAAAGCTGTCGCGGGTTCGCCCATCTTAGGTTTTATGCTGAAAAATGGGGTATGTATATCTTGGGCTCGACAGGCACAATCATGAGCACCATGCCGACAAAGTCAGTGGGCACTAGCATCGATATGACCAATCAACAGCCAAAGCTTTCACCGGATACAGTAACTGAAGTGGCTCGTGTCCCCTAGCACAAGATGCTCAGCCACAAATGAGCATGTCTTGATGATTTCATTCTCGAATCATCAGTAGCGCAAGACAATGGACTACTTTCGCACTTTTCGGACATGCCAAAATTTCCGTCAAATTCTTCACCTGTGGACAGATGGAAACGGCCTTACCCAGTAGGCCCAATCGGCGGTTGTCCATGCCGATCGTTGCATGCCCCATCAGCGCCATCGCGTGGCCCCGTAAGATCTATGACGAAAGACAATGCTCAATCTCCTAGACGATGCTCCTTGATTCTGAAAAGAAAAGGACATCCCCCCACATGGCTCCAGCCCTCAACGCCAACGTGGTGCTGACGCGACCGAAGTGTTTTCCTAGCAACAAGCTATAAGTCGTCATAGATCCTAACTCGGCCGTTCGGGTTGCTCGGCCGCACCAGAAGACCGAGGCCGTCTGTATGCTGCTTATTGCAGTGGTCTCATATTCATTCGGGTCACCCTCAGAGTAACGGCTGAGCAAGCTAGATTCGCCCTAGTTATACAGTGGTTCTTTCTTGCTTTTATGAAAACAAATGCCATATAGATTAGGTGCATCCCGCGCCATCGATGTCGACTTTTCTTTATCTAGCCAGCTGCCTAAACATTCCGTCCCTCGCTTCGGGAGTTCCAACGAGCAAAAGACCTCATGCTAGCTCTGCCACTGGTTTATAACTACATTGAGCAACAAGACTTGACGATTTCATCTGGCGACGCTCGACTTATTTCCCATGGACGAGAAACCTACCCCTCGGGATTGTGATATTCCTGGTGGTTATCCCGAGACGCCTAGTCTTGCCCCAACCAGTGGCCGTCCCACGCCCATGGGTGTTTCTGGGGATCGAAACAGGAATCCATCCGTCACCCACGTAACAAATTCGAGGTCTGGCCAGAGATCCCAAAGTCATGTTCAAACGTCCTACTTTACGACCACCTCCACTGTTACTGGCGACACTTCGTCGTCCACCGTCACCCTTTCTGGCCATGGCGCCGCAGCAACAGGCAGTCGCAAACCTTCCAGTGGGCTGGACGATGTGTCGGAAAAACAGATATACCTTGAAGGTGAATCGACCTCGCCTTCTCCAAGCGCCATGTCTCCGACCGATAGCACTCACTTTGCGCCTCTGAATACCAACACCAGCAATGCGAAAAGGCCGAACGCACACAGGCAAGGTAGCAATGTCACCGAAGACGACCTTTTTCGAGCGCTGTCGCGCCGTCGTACGAATGCAACGAATCTGAATGAACCCGAGCAGGGAGAGGAACAACAAGAGATCGAGCGTCTGATGTCACGGATTTTCGGCCGAGCACGACAAGAACAGAGCGAGGAGGAAAAGACTAGGCACAGCGGCGTTATCTTCCGTAATCTCACCGTCAAGGGTGTTGGTCTCGGAGCTAGTCTGCAACCAACAATTGGAGATATTTTCCTCGGTTTGCCGCGCAAGGTCAAAATGCTCTTCACCCGCGGACCCAAAACAGCGTTTGCCAAGCCACCAGTTCGCGAGTTGATCAGTCACTTCGATGGCTGTGTCCGCCCCGGAGAACTTCTCCTTGTTTTGGGTCGTCCAGGGTCGGGTTGCAGCACATTTCTGAAGGCTTTTTGCAATCAGCGAGCAGGATTTGAAGCCATTGAGGGTAAGGTTACTTACGGGGGCGCCCCTGCTGGGGAGATGAGCAAGAAGTTCCGAGGAGAGATCATCTACAACCCAGAGGACGACCTTCATTACCCAACCCTTACTGTCAAAAGAACCCTCAACTTTGCCCTCCAAACTCGGACTCCTGGTAAAGAGTCGAGACTCGATGGAGAAAGCAGAGAAGACTATATCCAGGAGTTTATGCGGGTGGCCACGAAATTGTTTTGGATCGAGCATACCCTTGGGACAAAGGTTGGTAACGAATTTGTGCGAGGCGTTTCCGGTGGCGAGAGGAAGCGTGTCAGTATTGCAGAGGCAATGATCACCCGGGCATCTGTTCAAGGGTGGGATAACTCTAGCAAGGGCCTCGATGCCAGCACTGCTGTGGAATATGTGCGGTCGATCCGAGCGATGACCAATATGGCCCAGACTTCGACAGCTGTGTCGTTATATCAAGCTGGCGAATCCCTCTATGACCTCGTCGACAAGGTGCTGCTTATCGACTCTGGGAAGTGTCTTTACTACGGACATTCCGAGGCAGCCAAACAGTACTTTATTGATCTTGGTTTCGAGTGCCCGGAGCGATGGACAACCGCCGACTTCCTCACTTCGGTTACGGATGTGCACGAGCGGCACATTCGTGAGGGATGGGAGAACCGGATCCCTAGAACCCCTGAAGAATTTGATACGGCATACAGAAATAGCGACGCCTATCAAAGAAATCTCAGTGACATTGAGGACTTTGAGTCTCAGCTTTCCCAACAGATGGAGCAGCGCCGCCAGCATGAATCCAAGAAATCAGAGACGAAGAACTACGAGATTCCCTTCCACAAACAGGTTCTGTACTGCACAAAGCGTCAGTTCATGGTAATGGCAGGCGATCGAGCATCTCTTTTCGGGAAATGGGGCGGCCTGGTGTTCCAGGGCCTCATTGTTGGCAGTCTGTTTTACAATCTCCCAAACACCGCCGCTGGAGCGTTCCCTCGTGGCGGAACTCTATTCTTCCTCCTTCTGTTCAATGCCTTGCTGGCTCTTGCGGAACAAACTGCTGCATTCGAGTCAAAGCCCATCCTGCTAAAGCACAAGTCCTTTTCCTTCTACCGCCCCGCCGCTTTTGCCATAGCTCAAACGGCCGTGGATGTGCCCCTCGTCTTCATTCAAGTTGTCCTCTTCAACGTCATCATCTACTGGATGTCCAACCTAGCAAGAACGGCATCTCAGTTCTTCATCGCCACACTCATACTCTGGCTAGTCACCATGGTGACTTACGCATTCTTCCGGGCTATCTCTGCTTGGTGTAAGACTCTGGATGATGCAACGAGATTCACGGGTGTGTCTGTGCAGATCCTGATCGTCTACACTGGATATCTCATTCCGCCCAGTTCAATGCGGCCGTGGTTTGGGTGGCTTCGGTGGATCAACTGGATCCAGTACGGCTTTGAGTGCCTCATGTCTAACGAATTCTACAATCGTCAACTTGAATGCGGTCCACCCTACTTGGTCCCACAGGGACCGAACGCATCACCAGAATACCAAGGCTGCGCCCTCGCCGGAAGTTCTCCGGGACAAACCATTGTACCTGGTTCAAATTACATCGAGGCCTCATTCACGTACACTCGCTCCCACCTTTGGCGGAACTTCGGCTTTCTCTGGGCTTTCTTCATCGCCTTCGTCATCCTAACCGCCTTGGGCATGGAGCACATGAAACCCAACACCGGTGGCGGTGCCATTACGGTCTTCAAGCGCGGGCAAGTTCCCAAAAAGGTGGAGAACAGCATAGATACTGGCGGTAGAGCGAAGAAGAATGATGAGGAGTCTGGTGCATCTAACAATGATAGTGCAAATGCAACGGCCAATGACACGATCAACGAGAAGGACGACCAGGATACGATGAAACAAGTTGCTCGAAATGAGGCCGTCTTCACATTCCGAAATGTTAACTATGTCATTCCATATGAGAAGGGCCAACGTACTTTATTGAACGATGTCCAAGGATTTGTTCGGCCAGGCAAGCTCACTGCGCTTATGGGCGCTTCTGGTACGATGGCGAAGTCCTCCTGTGGTTTGGAAGTTGCTGACTCCCGTTATCTTCAGGCGCCGGAAAGACAACTTTGCTCAACGCCCTGGCTCAACGCCTCAACTTTGGCACCATTACAGGTGAATTCCTTGTCGATGGTCGGCCTCTCCCAAGGTCTTTCCAGAGAGCAACTGGCTTCGCTGAGCAAATGGACATCCACGAGCCCACTGCCACAGTCCGAGAGGCCCTCCAGTTTTCGGCCCTTCTTCGCCAGCCTAGGGAGGTGCCCAAGCAAGAAAAGTTCCAGTATTGCGAGACGATTATTGATCTGCTCGAGATGCGTGACATCGCGGGCGCCACGATAGGCAAAGTAGGCGAGGGTCTCAACGCAGAGCAGCGAAAGAGACTCACCATCGGTGTGGAGTTGGCATCAAAGCCTGAGCTCCTCATGTTCTTGGATGAGCCTACTTCGGGTCTCGATTCTGGTGCCGCCTTCAACATTGTCCGCTTTCTACGCAAGCTGGCAGACGCCGGCCAAGCCGTGCTCTGCACCATCCATCAACCTTCTGCAGTTCTGTTCGAGGACTTTGATGAACTCTTGCTTCTCAAGGCGGGAGGCCGTGTTGCCTACCACGGTCCCTTAGGGAAGGACAGTCAAAACCTAATTCAGTATTTCGAGTCGAATGGTGCTCACAAGTGCCCTCCCAACAGCAACCCTGCCGAGTACATGCTGGAAGCCATCGGAGCAGGCGACCCTAACTATAAGGGCAAGGATTGGGGCGATGTCTGGGCACAGTCCGAGCACAACAAGTCTCGATCCCGGGAAATCGATGAGATGTTATCCAGCAGACGGGATGTCGAACCATCCAAAAGCCTCAAAGACGATCGCGAGTATGCCATGCCGCTCGCCACGCAGACCATGGCAGTTGTCAAGCGGTCTTTCATCGCGTATTGGCGGACGCCTAACTACATTGTCGGCAAGTTCATGTTGCATATTCTCACCGGCCTGTTCAATTGCTTCACCTTCTACAAAATCGGATATGCATCTGTCGACTACCAGAATCGGCTTTTCTCCGTCTTCATGACTCTCACCATCAGTCCTCCCCTGATCCAACAACTCCAGCCCGTCTTCCTACATTCGCGGCAGATCTTCCAGTGGCGTGAGAACAATGCAAAGATCTATAGTTGGTTTGCTTGGACGACGGCGGCTGTGCTCGTTGAGATACCGTACGCCATCATCGCCGGAGCTGTCTATTTCAACTGCTGGTGGTGGGGTGTTTTTGGATGGCGCCTTCCGAGCTTCAACTCTGGCTTCGCCTTTCTTCTCGTCATCCTGTTTGAGCTGTACTACGTGAGCTTTGGGCAAGGGATTGCGGCCTTCGCCCCCAACGAGCTCCTTGCTTCCTTACTTGTACCCATCTTCTTTTTGTTCGTCGTCAGTTTCTGCGGTGTGGTTGTGCCACCCATGCAGCTCCCGACATTCTGGCGAGATTGGATGTATTGGCTCACGCCATTCCACTACTTACTCGAAGCGTTCCTTGGGGTTGCCATTCACGACCAGCCCGTTCAGTGTGAGGCAGGAGAGTTTGCTAGGTACCAGCCACCGCCTAACCAGTCTTGCGAAGAATACACACAGCCCTATATACAGCAAGCCGGTGGATACGTTCAGACGGGAGAGGGTGGCATTTGCGAGTTCTGCCAGTACGCGACAGGTGACCAATTTGGCACCGGATTCAACGTCTACTACAGCAACATCTGGCGTGATTTCGGGATTTTCTGCGGGTTCATCATCTTCAACTATTTCGTCGTATACCTTGGAACCTGGCTTAAGTTTAAGGGCAATAACCCTTTCAAGAAGATGATTATGAAAAAGAAGAGCAGCAGTGGGTAGACGGAATGTGGTTTTGTGGCGATTACCAGATGGGGGTACCGACCTAACCATGGTAGAGTAAGTCAAGTATTTCGGACTTTATTTAATGTTTGTCATCGTCAATGTGGCATTCATAAGCAGCACTGCTCCCTCCAACTTGTCAACTGTTTGATGATCCAGCGCAAATTGCATGAAAACAAATATTTCGACACGAAATAGGTGTTCTATCGATCAACTATCAGGCAATGGCATCGTAGTAGACATGGCCTAGTCTACTTCTTGAAAGCACCGTTGGTCAACTCATCCTCCAAATCGTAGTATACCTGGAATTCGCAGTAGCATATCTCTGGGTCACTCTCGACATCAAAGTTGAACTGCGCCTCCTCGTCCGTGATCAAGACCTTTTGCAGTCCGTTGGCTGACGCCGCCTCGGCCAGAAGCTGCACGCGACAGCTGCGCTCCATGGACGTGTATAGGAACGCAGCCTCGTCGACGGTCTGTCCGACCGTCAACAGGCCATGGTTCCGCAGGATACAGCCCTTGCCCCTGGGGCCCAGCGCCTTGGCAATAGCCTCGCCCTCCTCGGGCCCAAGGACGACCCCGCCATAGCTGTTGTACACACTGTGAGCGTCGCCGCGGAACTTGCAGGCGTCCTGGGTGAGCATCTCCAGCCGGCGCCCGTAGACGGACCAGGCCTTGCCGTAGATGCCGTGGTTGTGACAGACGGCGTGGACATCGGGGCGGGCCTTGTGCACGGCGGCGTGGATGAGGAAACCGGCCGTGTTGGGCGGCTTAGAGCGATTGCCGCCAATGACGGCGCCGTCGAAGTTGACGAGGATCATGTCGCTGGCCTTGAGCAGGCCAAAGTGCCGACCGAGGGGATTCGTCCAGAAGGCGTCGTGGTACTCGGGGTCCCTGACGGAAATGTGGCCGCTCATGCCCTCGATGTAGTCCTCGCGGGCCCAGTGACGGAATGCGGCGGCCATATGTTCTAGCTGCCACTGGCGCTTCGAGGCGAAGTCGGGGAACTTGGGGATGCCGGCGAGCACGACCTCGCCGTGGGACATGGCCTGCAGAGGCGTCTTATTGGCGAGCTCATGGCCGTGCTTAGTATGAGGTGCGTCCTTGGGCACGATGGAGGCACCAGGGGCCTCTGCGGCCGCGGATTCGGTGTCGTTAATGATAGCTGATGGAGACATTATGAGTTTAGCTTGGCGTTCGGGTCAGGTGCGCGCCAATGTACGGAGAATCTAGATGAAAATAGACTTTGGTGCGGGGAAGTGGTTCTGTTGGGTCGTGGCTTTGTAAAAGTATTCCCAAATGATGCTGGCGCGGAACGAATGGGTCTGTAATGAGTCGGGAGGAAATGACAATGAATGTCGATGGTCGATTTGATAACGCTGCGACTTACGAAGGGCGCAACTGTCATCCGGGACTTGGTATTCCTATGTCTGGTCTGGCCGGAACGGGGTTGCGGGGTTGCGGGTCAAGATAAGGCACGACCGGGATCGTTTTGCCAAAAGACGACCGGTAACCGGAAACCGGCCCGGTCCAAAGCGCGGGGGAGGGGAGGTTGCCGAATATCCTTTTTTGTGTTGGTATACCTACCTACCTACTCGACTTCACAAACGACCTATCTCGGCAGTCCGATCTTAAACTTTTGAAAGATAAGATGGGAACGCCACGGTATCTCTCTCCCGGTCACAAAGACGTCACGTGGCTGAGACGAGGAACGTATGTTGAAAAAGAAAAAAAAAACGTCGCAAGGGTATGTTACAGCAGCGAGGCCCATGCAAGATTCCATCTGCCCGTCATAAACCAAGAATGTCTCTTGTACAGCGACCGCCGTTATTACGCAAATGCTTTTCTTTATCCGTGGTGCTGCACAGCTCTCCCTCCTGACTGCCCGGCATAAAACAATAAAAACAGCTCTCCCGCTTTCCTAAAGGACCGAGAGCAGAAGGTGCATCATGACTCGAGTCTGCACATGTACCGAATTTCGCATTAGTTCGTCATTAAATAGCAGTATCCTGCTCATGCTCCGCTGCTGCGGTATCGCTCACCGAGGACACATCCTTCACCGCTTGGTCTGCAGAGCCTTATCCAGGCACTGGATGATCTGGCAAGTTGGTCAATACATAAGTTGGACAACAGCTTGGGGTGACAATACTAACCTCGTCTCCCCAAACACCTTGGTTGCTGAGATAACGGCCCATGCCCCTCACCAATTCCAGCTGCTCCTCCACAGTTAAACCAGTGACAGCCATCTCCATGACGTCGCCGAGGTTGACCGTATGGAGAGCGATGAAAGAGTGGTAGTACATGTAAGTGAAGAAGCCCATGATGAACTGGCAGTCCATGCGGTCCGTCATACCGCCGTGGCCGGGAATAGAGTCGCCAAAGTCCTTGATCTTGAAGGTGCGCTTGAGCCCCGAGGCGAAGAAACCGCCAAAGGGAGCGATCAGAGAGGCAAAGGTTGCGAGAACCAGAGTGTGAAGCTGCATCGGGGCCACGGTGAAGGAGAAAGTTTTGTGCATGTTGGGAGGCAGGAAGAAGAGAGGGGGCAGGCTGTATGTTTTCGGTTCGAAGACGGGGTTGCGCGTACAGTCGAGGCCGGTGAAAATGTTCGCGCCCAAGTCCTAACCAAGTTAGTAGGCCAACACAACACCGGGGAGGACGGAGGGTCACTAACGTTAACAGGACAGAGGAAGAAGTCGGAGCGCATCAAGACGTTGGTCAAGAGCATGCCAAAAATAATGGTAAAAACCCAAGCGCCAACGAAACCCTCGACAGTCTTCTTGGGAGAAAGAGCGATCAGCTGGGTGCGACCAAAGGTGATGCCACAGAGATAGGCCCAAATATCGTTGGTGATGACCATGGCGGCCGGCAGGAAGAACCAGATCATGCCCTCAAAGACATTGTTCATGATGAAATGGGCCTGTACGACAATGAGGTACAGGGCCATGTGGGTCCAGGCGAACTGCGTAAACTGGAACTTGTAGTGACCAGCCTGGAGCGAGGTGACAAAAAAGACGAAGCCTACAATTGGTGCACTAGGTTAGCAAACAACCCATTGCTCTGACGGTTCCAGCGAGAGAGAGGCGGCGTGCGGGTAGGACATACCAAAGATGTACAGGATGAAGCTGATGAATCGGTGGTGGGTTGCCAGAGGCAGCAGCACCTTGTCGACCAGGACGATGTGCTTGAAGTAGTAGATGACGCTCTCGCCGTAGAGGAAGTACATGGTGGTGGCCAGCCAATACCAGTTGAGGCTCTTGGCAGAGCGCAGCTGGCGGGCGCGACTGGGCACACTGGCGATTGCGATGACCTCCTTGAAGGAAATGATCTGGATGGCGGTCATGATGCAGATGATGTAAATATGGCCCATGACAAGGGCAGCGAAGAAGCCGGCGAACATGACAAAGGTCCAAAAGGTACGGGTCATGAAGTTTGCCTTCTTCTTCTCGTAGGCCTCGCGCTTCTCCTCCTCGGGGGACTTGGGCGGCTGCTGTCACGGCGAGGGGCGCGTTAGCAGTAGGCCTAGAATGGGGAAGGGCGACTCTTGCTCGTGCATGGATGGCATCAGCCTGGCATGGCAAGGTGGCTCGCTTACCTCTGCAATGTTATCGAGCGCAACGCCAGTCTTGATCTTGGAGGGAGAACCATCCTCGCTGACGTCGCTGAAGCTTGAGCGGCGGGCTTCGCCGTGACCGTTGGTCTTATGAGGGAACTTGACCCCCCTCCGCGTGCGTGCCATCATTTCACTGTACGCGGGCTCGCGGTCTTGTTCTGTCGAGGGAAGGAAGGGACTCTCGACTGCTACTGTCGAAGAGGCAGTGGGTTCGCTTGATGCGACGAGAGGTTCGTCGAGGCCGATCGGTGAAGAATCGTTCGCAGGGCGGGTGGTTCGGATGCGGCAAAAGGCTCGAAGCGGAGGTTCGGCGCAAGTTGCTCGAGAACACTGGGCGGGCGGGCGTGCGGCAGGGGACTATGCCAGTCGACGAAGCAGGTTTGCAAAGCCGCAGTCCAAGGCGTCGAGGGGAGAAGGTGTATTCGTGGTAGGTCGAAAAAGGTTGACAATTCTTGGGTAGGAGGTTGTGTGTTTTGAGGCGGAAGACGGAGAAGCGCGCAAAAGTGAAGTGGGTATGTAGGTACACGTAGGTAGGTAGGTAGACAAACGGAGGCGGAAAGGTGGGAAAGGCATAGCTGGCGCAAAATGCGAGCTGGAGTGTTACCCACTTTGGGGTGCTGCGTACCTATAGGTAGTGTACCTAGGTAGGAGGTAAGCAGCTACAGCGTATTGCGGCTGCGGATATGTAATTACACCTAGTACGTGTGCTCCCTCGGCACCCAAAGCATGAGCAACGCCATTTCTCAGGTTCCTCTTCTCATGGTGCTTCTCTCGCCCGTTCATCTTGCCGGTCTATTGCTGTTCATGTTTTTCCATCCGGCTGTTTTCTTCTTTCTCGACCAACCACCGAGGCCCGGAGCGAGTAAGCCACGGCACAGCCAGCGTAGATAGATACCTACCTAGTACAGCAGAGTGTGTTGGCAGGCAATCAGCAGAGGCGGCGTGAGACATCCTCGTCTCCTTCTTTCCATTCCTCTTTACTCCGTACTGATCCGCATAATGTCTCGAGTACTCGGCAAATGCAGGTATGCAACAGGACCCGGGCAACTGGTATGTACGGGGGTGATGACGATGCAACTACTTAGTGCATATGCACCTTGGGTAGACAGATACCTACCTAGGGAGAAGAGTTACGTCAGGCCCTCGAGATTCTTGGTGGGGGGGGAGAGAGAGAGAGAGAGAGGGAGGTCCCGGAGTTGGGCTGGCACAAACGCATACGCAACGTATCTACCTTGTACAGACACAAGTACATACGTAATGGTGGGCACGCATTGAAGTCCGCCCGTGCTCGGTACGCAACCCACCATTATCGACGGAGATTACATAAGCCCGACACACTTGTCAACTCCGCCAACTTGCCAAGATACTACCTGTGTGCTACCTAGATAGGGAGGCAAGATAAGGTACCATGGTAGTTAACCACTTGCTGATTTTCCCTTTCCTTCCTGTTCGCTTAGCCTTGACACCAGCAAACTCGGACCTGGCGGGAAAAAACACAGCATGGAATTAAAAGGTAACGCGCACATGCCACTCACCACCAGGTTCTCTCAAGTGCATCATTGAAGAACGATGAGGCCCGTGCTTTTGACGTTTTTGTGCGTGCTCCCTTCGAATTGCGCGTGTCTTCTCTTTATTTTATTTTTACTTCTTTTCTGCCAGGCCCCATCACCCACTCATCCATCCCTGATTACCTACCTACCCTAAAACTACCTTACTTTTATTTTATTTTAATGGTACCTACCTATGTACTCCGTACTCCGTACCTACCTAGTAAACCTAGCAGCGCAACACTAGCATCCCCTGTGTGGCCAGCAAAACTGTTGAGTTGCTCGGCCTCGACGATCCCATCTCAGGGACTAACCTTACTTGACTTTCTGAGCCCAGACATTTTACGTCTACGGATACACGTACCTAGTAAATATACCTAGGTATCTTCTATATGCTCATGCCGGGTCACCCAGAGCACGACCGGTAAATGCCATTGAAAACACAACCACTTTTAGTACTCCTGTGGCCCGCTATTTGCTCGACATCGGACAGAATCCCACCTTCGGCCACGTCGGATTAATGCTGAGCGATGCTGGTTGACATCATCACATGCCGTCCTCCCACCTCGTTCCTAATACCTAGTGTCCGTAGGGCGGTAATCTGCTGATTGTCTACGGAGTAGTAGTGGTGCGGTGACTGCCTTAGTGCAGGTGGGCGTGTGCTAGTAGGGTAAAAGCTGACTTTGGCCCCAATTAGCCAACATCGACGGCTCTGTCCAACTTCCTCCGTTTCTTTTACTTTCCTTTCTCTGCCGGGCCCTGAGCAACATTCCTAAGGTAATTAGAAAAAAAAATATCGATGAAATAACAATAATAATAATGATGACAAAAGAAAGAAAGAAAAAAAAAACCTCAAGATGCAATGCAGCTGCAAATAGGCGGCCGCATTCGTCTGGGTTGTTTTCGCTGGCCTTGTCCGTTCCACCACCCCGCGACATGATTATGGGTGGCTTGTGGCTCAATCTCTTGTGAAGCTACAATCATCATGTGGCTGTGTGCCACTTCCAGGCGACGCGTTTGCTAATTGCCGCGTCGTGTCCCGCGATGGTGGTGCTGCCGATAAGATAAGAAAAGCCCTGGTACCTGCCAGGCGCCGCCTGCCCGCCGCATCTGCCACTATTCACAACAGAAATGCCTTCACGTCAAACCCAACACCGTCAGTCTCCAATGGATCTTTGATCCACAGACTGATGCCGCACAAATATCATGGATGATTTCTCCGATGACGATTTAGACAATCTGAATGACACCCTGCTCCAAGAGCTTGAGAACAACGCCATCCAGTTCACCCAGTTACAGCGCAAGCCCGACTCCCAGTCTCATGACCGTTTCCAACTCGAGAATTACGACGACCTCGAGTTCGAAGACGACGACCTCGACGACACCGAGGTTACCAACGAGCTCTTGCCCTTAGTTGCCCGTCCGGGCGCCGACAAGACCCTTGCTCACCACCAGCCTCAACCACCTAGACACCCTCCGCCGCAGCAGCGATGGAACCCTGCACCGCCAATCGCCCAGCCGCCCGTCCTCTCCTCGCGGCCGCGATACCCTCCGCCAGTACCGTCCCATAACCCTTCGGGTGCTTCGCAGCCCTTTCTACCCCGCACCGTCGGGGCACCTAATCGACCCAATCCAAGTCATTACGCCCGACCTCCCCCTCCTCCCGTTTCGTCACGCTTCAACACCCAGCAGTCCCAGCCGCCAGTTCATGAGGTGATCGGCAACGATGTCGTCGCTGCCTTGCAACAAAGGGTCAAGGCACTCGAGTCTGAGCTCAACTCTGCCCGTGGCGAGGTTACCATCATACGCAACAACTCCACAAAATCCGCACAAGACCATGCCGCCGAGGTTGCCCATCTGAAGAGGCAGAATGCCGAACAGGTCGCCAAGCAGGAGAGAGCTGTCGAGGCTGCCATTGCTGCCGAGAGGCAGGCCACTACCGAGTTGCAATTTTTGCAGCGTGATATCCAGGAGGCGTCACGTCGTCCCCGGCCGCGGGAGATCGCTCCAATGCCTACAGCGCCGGGAATCACCACCCCCAAGAAGACGGCCAAGACATGGGGCATGGCCGACGGTTTTGACGACATGGAAATTGCCCAGAGCCCGAGCAAGACTAAGGGTAAGCCTCGGGATGTCGGTCCCGTCGCGGTGCCTTTGTCCGAGAGGACACCTACCAAAAGCAAACGGAAACGACCAACAGTTGACAGTCCGGTCATGGCGCTGGAAACTCACGCCGGGGACATTGTCATGCTGGACCAAGTGACGACTGCCCCCTCCGCAGTTCGTTATTCGGGCCCTGGCCCAAATGCTCTTCCTTTTGAAGTATATACCATGTCTTCCCCATTTAGTCCCGACTTCATCGCTGACGGCTAATATAGTTCCTCCAAGTCATCTTGGATCATGGATCTCTACATGGAGAGCCGCCTACCTTTGACATCTTGTCACGCTACTCCTATCCTTCTGATCCTACGACGTCTTTTGCTTCTCTCATCTTTCGGGAACTACCTCTGATGGGCAACCCGTTGAATCCGGTTCAGCTGTTAATAGACTTCGCCCACCATGTCATCCGTATGTGGAGCCAGTGTTTGGACGAGGATTTTCTACGACCGATCTGGGACTTGGCCTCGCTCCTCTCATTCACTCTCCAACTACAGACTATATCCGTGGCACCGCAAATCATCAACGAATCCGTCCCGGTCCTGCAACAGTCCATTTACAAGGTTGCCGAAGCACGGTTCAAGAGCATAGATGGTAATATTTCATCCGATCCTAGCACGGAAGCAATGCAGCAGCAGGTTGACACGACATACATTCTATCTCTTCTATATGCCTCCGCTGCCGCCTGTGCTACCACCCTGACAGAGACGAACAACGGCGCGCAAACGAGACAAGCTAACTTTTGGCAATTGATCACCCTCGATTTGGTTCTGATTTTGCTCACGCCCAAGCAACGCTTGGACGATATAATTGGCATGCTCGACATGCTTTGCACTTCCACACTACCAAACTCCATTGGTCCTATCATTTCGGGGAAAGAGCCCGACTTGGTCGCCAGAATGGTTATTGACAAGGTGTCTCTTAACCTGGTTGATTTTCCTCGAGCCGCTGCTTCAACCAGTCAGAAACACGCCGTAAGATTTGCAGTTCTGCGGACACTCATAGCCTTTGCTCGTACCCCGTATGGAGCACGACAGATCGCTGGCCACGTCAGCGTCATCCCACGTCTAGTCACAGCGTTGAGTGAGCTAGTGGATGTCCTGTACGACATTTCTACCCCTGTAGTGAATACCGTTGGTGGCGTTTCTTGCAACACACGCAGGGACCAGGCCGTGAGTGCTACCCCGGACGACCCCCGCAGCAGTACCGACGACTGGGATGACGGCCGTAATGACCCGTCCGTCCTAATATCGCAAATCATCTTGCTACTACACACCTTGGTGACGGATCCGACTACGGCAAACGCCGCCAACATTCTAAACAAGCTCTCAGTATCACATGGAGGCTCCCAGCGGTACATTCTCTCTCTTTCGAGACTCAACTTTGCTGAGGAAGACTTGGTATACGAAGCGGCCGTCGATGCCGACACGGTAGATAGAGCTCATGAGCTACTGGAGCTTGCCGTCACTCCAGACGAAGGCGACAGTATCGCAGTGTCGTTTGGGGTGTGACCGGCTGGCAACAAAACCTCGGCAGTACCTGCAGACGTGACACGATATTGGATGTTGGCCGTCCGCCGATTCATGTCTAAGGCATCTAGAGTACCGGTACGCCACATCCGGCAGTGTCCTGCTACCAGGTTCCCGGACTTGTTAAGAATGACGGTTGCAGAAATGTCAAGCATGCCCCGGTAGTGAAGCAAGCCTTTGTTTGGGTGTGAAGTTGTCAAGAGATTATCTGGCTTGTGTCATCACATTGTTTGTCACATCGAACTAGTGCAAACACCAGGCAACGCTGGATACTGAAAACGTGTGGCAAGGACCGAAGCTACTAGGTGACTCGGGTTATGACGCCCAGGCGAAGTTTCCTGAGACGGGAACACGGTGGCTGCCAAGAGTCAAGCGGAGTGCTGCACACACTCCCACCCTCTATTTGCAGATAAGCCTCACGACCGCCAACGAGATTGGGAGCGTCTTCAAGTTACTCAAATGATTGAAGTTCGGCCGAGTGACAGTTGACGACTGGCTGACAAGTCCATGTCACGCGTGGTGCTCTGGAGGGGGGCAATGCTCAGCAACAAGATCCGGCTCACGGATCTACTGGGAGGCCCAAGTTGACCCAGGCCCGCTACACGAAGAATGGTTTCTTTGAAATCTGCTGATCGTAATTGTTCGGAGGCTTCGTGACGCGCTGCCTAGCTATGTCCGTATGGAGAGTGCCGACTAGAAATCGCCATCGACGGCGCTAGTCAACAAGGCCTTTGCTCCATGGTTTAGCGGCCTGGACTAATCGCCCAATGCAGCACGCGCCCCTGAGTCAAGGAGCTGTCTCTTGTCCCACGAAGCCGCCACTTTCGGTCGTCCGTCCCAAGGTGCCAACATTGATTAGGCCTGGGCCCGTCAGGTCCGAGCCCGGTTCGTCCGGAGTGGTCTGAGAAGGCGTTCCGCCAACTCCAAGCTAGGACGACATCAGCCCAGTGCTGGCTTCTGCTGTACCCGACTTGCAGGAGCCGAGTCAAAGATAAACAATGGCCAAAGACAAGCAAGGTGCATTAGTCATGGAATGTCCCCTATGGCAAGCGAGGAGTTGGGTCGTTAAGCTCCAGGTCGCACAAGGCCGACCGGTCAGGATCAGGAACGGGAGGGGTGGGAGCCACATTACTTGGTGTGTGAGCTCCGAGCTGAAGCCTCCGACGGAACTAACACACACAGAAAATACGCCCCCCCTTCTCTCAGCCCGCCGCCCTCCCATTGAAAATGGCATATATGATGCCAGTTAACCGCAGCTCCTCGCAACCGGACTCCCGTGGGATTTCCTTCTCTCTTTATCTACTCTACATTCGGTTCAAGTGTTGCTGGTGCCATAAAACGCTGCCATCATGAACATCCTTTTCCTTTGCACCGCGCACAACTCGCTGTCGCAGCGCCTGTACCTGACTCTTTCCAAGTCTCACAACATCACCATTGAATATGCCCTCTCAGACGAAGCCATGATCGAGGCGTCCAAGCTGTTCAAGCCCCATCTCATCATCTGCCCTTTCCTCACCACACGGGTCCCTCGCGAAGTGTATGAAAACTACCTTACCCTGATCATTCACCCCGGTCCGCCTGGTGACGCAGGACCTAGTGCCTTGGACTGGGTGTTGATGGGCGACGACGGAACGGAGGCAGACCCAGAGGCACTTATCCGGAACGGCACATGGAGCGAATTTGGTCGATCGTACTGGGGTGTCACTGTCCTCCAAGCCGTTGAGGAATTCGACGCCGGACCGGTATGGGCGTTCGAGCAGTTCCCATTGCAGATCGATTCTCCCAACATCACAAAGTCAAGCGTCTATCGCGGACCCGTCACGCGGGCCGCGCTCACGGCTACCTCGGCGGCCATTGAGAGGATCCAAACCGCCTGTATGCAAGCCGTCTCACCCTACACCCCACCTCCCTCGCCCGGTAACTTGAAGTTCGCCCCGCACCTTGTCAATCCGCTCCTCCAAGCAAAACCAGCCTACCGCGACGCCTCAGTGACACTGCAGAAGGCCTTCCTTGGCGGAGTAACACGCCACCGACCCCTTCTCAAGGCTGCCCAACGCGACTTCAACGTCCAGTCACACACGGCTCGGGAAATATCGCGAAGGATTCGGTCTTCGGACTCCCAGCCAGGCTGCCTGACCAAACTCTTCGGTCCGTCCCTATACGTCTACGGCGGTATCATCGAGGAGAGCGACGACTTTGTCGGCCAGGCGCGTCCGGGAAAAATCATCGCTTACCGAGACGACGCTGTTTGCGTCGCCACATGCGATGAGAAGGCCGTTTGGATCACCCACGTCCGCCGTGTCAAGAAGAAGACGGACGTCATGTTGTGGCCCAAGGTTCCAGCTGTCTCAGGCCTGCAGGAGCTGGGTATCATTAACGATGATGCTGTCGCACGAAATTGCATCTCCCGAGCCACCGTTGACTGGTCGCGAGCCCCGCATACTACTCAGCAGGACGTTTGGGTCGACTTTGAGACCTTCCCAGGTGCCAGGCGGGTTGCATTCCTCTACTTCGAATTTTACAACGGCGCTATGAGTACGGAACAGTGCACCCGCATGATTAGCGCTCTTGACTTTATCATATCCACCCACGTCGTGGAACGTCCACTCAGTGCCGTTGTACTAATGGGAGGCGAAGGCTACTTCAGCAACGGTATCGCACTGAACGTTATCGAGGCTGCTGCGGATCCAGCCCTCGAGTCTTGGCTGAATATCAACCGCATTGACGATGTGGTACACTACCTCCTGCACGAGCTTCCATCACGCAAGATCCTTACCATTGCTGGCATCAGAGGCAATTGCGCAGCGGGCGGCGTCGCCATGGCTGCCGCATGCGACATCGTCCTCGCTGGAACTGAGGCGGTTCTCAACCCCGCTTACCGCGCCATTGGTCTCCACGGCTCCGAATACCACTCCTTGTCATACACCGGAAGATGTGGCTCGTCCGGCGCCACCAAGCTGTTGCGTGACATGAGACCACTGTCGACGACTGAAGCCCGCACAATGGGCTTGGTCGATCACACAATCCCCGGCTCTGGTGCCCTTCTTGACACTCGCATGCGAAAACTCATCAAGTCCATGCTCACTTCTCCAAAGACACTGGCCCCGGGGATCTGGAAGAGCAAAGTCGACGTATCCCCCGCCGGCCTGGCCTGTGCTCGTGCGCAGGAGCTCGGAGAAATGTCAAAGGACTTCTGGAGCCCGAGGTCGTCAAGATATCACCTTCGTCGCAGAGACTTTGTTCGCAAGATCAAGGCTGCAAAGACGCCTCTTCGGTTTGCGGCACATCGCCGCAGCGACGGGGATCTCGACGAGGAGGAGTCGGACGAGTTTGACGATGTCGTCAGCTTTGAGCGCAAAGCAAGGGCGGCGTTGATGGCTGAGCAGCTGAAGGGTTACGTAGAGAGCGTGACGTTATCGACGCCAGCTCAACATGTGGCCGCGAATCACGACTCCACTTCACATCACACCAGGGCGGCGAGCGACAGCGCTGGCAAGCGGGACTTGAGGCCCGTCTTCTCGTGCTACTATGACGTTACGGCATGAAGTGTGTTGTTTTCATGACGGGCTTTTACTGTATAAAGGGCATTCTTTCGGAACAAGATTTCCTGTCCTGGGTATTCATATACTCTGCGATAATTTGGTGTATAGTGAATTTGATATACTCTCAACCCGTTCCTAATGTGTTCTAATTCTCGTGAGGTTCCAACTTCCTTATCTCTTACATGTGATAACTGGAAGAAATTATGAGTGTCCAAAAGTTAGCGCCCGCCCTATTATGCGCGCCGCTAGAAGCGGGACACCGATAACATGGTGTGTCTACTTACAAGGGCAAGCAACAGGCTCAGAGCCCATGCACTCCCATCATGGCTAGCGTTTCACTCTCAGTCCTTCTAGCCTTTTATAGGCCCAGCCTGGGTCTAGTGGTTCTCTTTCTTGATCCTGTGCCGGAAGCTTCCTTTCGACTCGCCCGTTTGTCAAGCTGTTCCAGTGTAACCCCAGAAACGTAACTCTAGCAATGAGCGTCTAGCATCCAATGGTCACAGTGGAACGGCCCAGGCCCTTGGGGTCTAGGACTCATTCTCGTACCGAGTGTCCGGTCTTTTGATGAATGTTATAATAGGCTACGGTTCTCACTGGTGAGTGAGCCGATGTGCTGGGATACATCCGTCTCCGACAGAGCGGGGGTGATTGCCGAATCCGGGCCTGCGAGAGGTGGGTGGGGTGCCGATAGCGGGGCCGTCTTAATGATGTCTACGGAGTATTTCGCACACATCCACCCGACCCCAAGCCCCAAACTCCCTATGGCTCTAGCCTGAACCATCTCTGCCTGCCTACCTATAAGGGAGCCTGGTGGCAGTGGCCCTCGAACTATTGCCGCTACGCAACGTGGGAAATTTGACGGATTCCACCCAAAAGGACCTCAAAGAGTTTCGAAGGCGGTTACCGATATTTTCACGGCCGCCTTCTGGTACTTTTACGGCCCTCTAAGCCTATCTTAGCTAGTTCTTTGCCTATCCTAGTTAATTCCCTTGGAAATACTATGTTCCATTCCATCACGCGAACATTACCAACTAACCCAGACCCTAACCCAGACCCTAACCTCTGACCCTACGCATCTTTAAAAGCATATATAAAAGATGCGCAGGGTTAGTGGTTAGGGTCTGGGTTAGTTGGTTATGTTTGCGTGATGGAATGTGTTATTTAGGTGTGTTGTGGTGGTAGTGGCCAGAGGGCTGTGAAAATACCCGTAACCCTCGAAGGCCACTCTACCATTGGCATTGAATCAAGTATCCGAGACAAACTATCAAAGCGCAACGCCGGGCAACAGACCATCATTGAGCCGTTTTTGGACTCGGCTGATTATGACATCACCTTGAAGAAAATATGATTGGCGTTTTTTCGGGCTTTCACGGATGACTGTATCCGTCTCCTTCGTCACACTTCGCGGTGTGCTATCTTGGAGATGTATATCACGTCGCTGAGAAGGAACGGACTAAGCTTTGCGGGGATCTTCCATCATCCACATCATACTCCGTACTTTGGCATCATATGTGATCGATTACCGGAGGCAGTGGAAATACATATAGAAGGGAGGGGGCCAATCGAGGGCCAAGACCCACCATGATGGAACTGTTGTCAGCGGGTGCGGCCTGTTTGTCCTTGGGCCACAAGTATGAATGTGTCTATTGATGCTAGGTTGGATCACACACTTGATAACTTGAACGCGATCACTACCACTGTTGCAATACCGTTGATTACGATGAATGAATTGAACATCAAAAGTGGCCGCCGTGTGTTTTTTGGGAGAGGCGGGACCGATAACATTCGTGGATTTATTGTCCTCTATGGTGTCTGCGTTCTTGGTTATGTGAGGCTAACAGAATGTATTTTTAGGTCATTACGCGGATGCTGGGATCATCGAAGATGCGCCCTCCCCCGAAGGACGGCGGAGGAGCAGTGAATGGAGTGCGAGCTCGGCCAAGTCAACCTTCGAAAGCACAAGCCTTTCCCACGGGGTAATTATGGGATATATTTAGGAGAATATCATCAAGAAGTACTCCCGAGAAGCTCCCGGAGCGAGTCAATAACTGTAATGAAAGTGAAAGCACGATCGGGCCAACGGTCAATGCCGAGGAAGAGCAGGGACGAGGACTACGATGTGGCGCCACGAGGATGGCGAAACGATACAAGACGCCATACGGATTAAAATGTTCATATTGATATATTTTGTGTGCTCTCAATTGTATTCTGTCACAACTCCCAATCCCCTGCCACTCCGCCATTTGAAAATGTAGAGATTCTGTTGCTGACACGGGTTTCAACGCAGTCAGTTCGCGTGCCATTTACCCGCGTTGTGGATTTCGCTAAATTGGGTACTAGGATTTGAACCTGCACAAGGACTATTTTTAGTTGAGTCGCCAAACTCACAGAGTTCTTTAAATAATTTTCGTTTTGTTAAACCTTCAACTTCTGCAAGTTTTTAACTATGATCTATCCTTCGATATGGTTTATGTATATTTGTATTAATATTCAAGAAGACGTCCTCATTTAAACCATGATGTCTGTTCTCATGAGATATTGCCTAAACAATGAGTCTCGATTGCTGCAAGCTCCCGTAGCCAATCGGGCATCCCTCAGACATGCAGCTGCAAGTCTGCCATGTCCGGCGCCATACTATCATCGACCGGACGAACAGAACACCCCATATGCCACAGCTTCGTAACGCCATTACACGACCAGGACGATATTCGGGGCAGCAGTGACATGGAATCGGATCTAGATCACAGTCCACGATGTCAAGCTCGGAGAAGTTGAGGCTATGAGTGAGAGCCTTCTCTTCTACCACGACTGCATAAGACCCATCCATACGCTGTTTTATTATCATCCACCGACAAATATAAGCTTTTATGGGAACAAGGTTATAGTTGGGTCTGCTCTTAGGCAACTTGACTGCAGGCAACGACGACTTACTCTATTACTGACGGCGCTATGAGTGCCTACTGGATAAGTGTCTTGGGTCGAGGCTTTAGTGGCCACTATACGAGATGTGGCTTCGGCAAGCCGTCGGTCTTCCCAACCCTCTTCGATTCCTGAGTGCTGTTTTCCATGATTCTGTGTGCTAGGACGGCCTTTTAAATATTGTTAGACTCTGGAGGAGAGAAAGGGGAATCCGCCCCTGTCGACTTGTGCTTACATGGCCTAAGATTCGGTGGCTCGTGAAGAAATGGGACAGCCCATCCACAGGGAAATTCTGGGTGCAATCAGCTTCTGTCAACACGATATTAGGAACCTCTTTGGTTGGTTTTCTCGTCAATTCGCAGCTTGCTACACAAGGAGAGCCTCAAACCATCGCCATTATATTTGATGACCAATAAACGGTGAAGAATATTCTACTGTAATTCATGGACACACTAGATGGACCAATCCCTTCCATAGGTGGATCGAGATACCGGGTTTGAGTTGGTTGCATTTTTGCAATTGTTGAGGCAATACTTACATTTTTCTGAGCAGCAGTCTGATAACTTACAAAGGTCCAATATTTGAACGTTACGAGTTTGATTGGGATCTCGATAGGCAATGATTTAGATTGGCAATGAATGTTGTAGAAAGGAAATGGGAAATCCTCGTAACTGACTGTTAGTTGATGGATTGCATTTTTGTCTTGACCTTCTGAAGAGCACAAGGTTTTGATCGCTCAAGAGTCCTCTTCATTGCACTCGATCAAAAGCGGTGTGTGGATGCTGGCGCATTCAGGTTGGTGGACGCTGCCCTTTCCATGGACTTAAGTCCATCAAAATATGAAACAACGGATTCAGTGACACCATTATGATCCTGCTGTGATCTCAACCACCATTTCCAAATCCTCCTTCTTACCCCAGTCGAAAGTGCCTAGTTGCCATGGAACTGATAGAGATGGAGACCTCATCCTTCAGCTGAGTGGCATGGGCTTTGAAGATGTCTGGCTTCAAGAACCCGTACAGGCTACAGCATCAACCTCCCTGACGATAATATCGAGGCCATAGCTACTCTATGCCAGATTCTCCACAACTTCCACTTTAGTCCAGGGCCAAAAACAATAAGTCTTTCTAAGTTGGCCTTTGTCAGTGATGAGTACAAATGCATCCCAGCACTAAAGTATTGAGGGATGGTATGGATCAGAGATCAGCTCCAGGGTTACGATAAGAACGTGCAGCTAATAATCGACTTTTGCTACCTATTGGTATTCTCATATGTAGTCCACCTTATCCTTGAAGTCTCAGACGTATATTGGAGGATCTTCCTGTGGCATGAAGGCTCCTTTCTATCGACTTCGGATCGAGTCAAAATGCTCGCAGGCTATCCTCTGCTGAGGCACGATGTCATTCGTAAGCCTATTTCCAAGTTTCCATGTTCGTACAAACCTGACAAATGAATGTTATCCTGAAGAAAAACGACACGAATGCTGCGACGCTTTCTACCAAGGTCACATTGCCTCAATGACATAACCTCAAGCGTTGTACAATTCGCAATACCTGTACCCGAGGTTTGCGAGGGCATTTGGGGTCTACATTGAGAATGTTCGATGGTCCAGCTTTCTGCCCAAAGATATCGATTTGGAACGTACAAGTTTTGCAACCTTCTGGAAGCGGCGGTCGACATTCCTCAGATCACCATGGCGCGTTTCCGGTGCTCAAACGCGACAAGTCGCTGCGGCTGTCCTTCAAACGAATACGTTGACCGCAACCTATCTCACTGATTCAGTGATGAAGCATTAAGGATTGTTAAGCAGAGGCGCATTTTCAACTGTCTCGACTGCCTGGAGAGCAAAGGCACATCTGGAAAGGCAAAGCTATGCCATTCGCCCCGTTTCTCTGAGGTAGTCACGGACAGAGGGATTCCTTTACGCTCATAAAAGAAGCTTCTTTTCAAACACTTTGTTTAGGAAATTGTAAGGGTTGCGACTCATCTACTCGAGTCCCTTGAAATATGGAATATGAAGTGTTTGTTTCTCGTTTAGCATCTGAATGTCCATTCTAATTGACAACCATTTTATAGTCCGAGATCGATGTGGTTGATAATTATCAGGATTACCAGGCACATCTTGCCACCAAAGCTGCGATGAATTCACACGCCACTCCTGCTTGATGTGTGTGCTGTTCGTTACATATTAGCTGCTGAGCAACCCCCAGGTCACGAAAAGCATTCTTTCAGCATTGTTACACTGAACAGTTCCCTGCAGCCCAATCTTCCCGTTTTGGGCCAAGGGAAGATATCTTGTCGTATAGAAGCGAATATCGTTGGTACCGATTCTCATTGAATTGCCAGTACTACCAGAGTCGGCATATCTTGCCGCAAAAGAGCACGACCCCGAGCTCACAATACGGGCCCAGCCGTCTGATGAGAAGTCGCTGGGTTGCAACGTCCAGAAGCCATTCTGGTCTCCCAACGAGTTGACGAGGATCTGACAGTCCGCGGCCGAAGGAGCTGAAGCCGAAAAGTCTGTCGCTGGGTCCTCGGCCTGCTCGCCGCACCACTCGACTCTTCCGGATGAGAAGGCAACGCGTTTGGAGAGGCGCGTTGGCCGTTCGCCTTCGCTTCCTTGGGTGAACTGGAGTTGGCGGTTTACATGGATGGTCGATTCAGTGCCGTCCGCATTGAGGAAGGTGCGAGGCACCATGTCTTTATATCCGTCTTTAGACGCGGCAATTACTGTGACAAGGCATAGAATGATGGCCCCGAGGAGTGTTTTGGCGAAGACACGCATTGTGAAATAATTGCTGCCTATTGGCACAGCAGAAAGACAGTAAATAAGATTGTGTTGTTTGAGATGCAATCTATGATCAGCATTCGGTGAGAAGCTACCAGAAGGTTGTCAATGCCTGTCAAGTGATGTGGGCGCAGTGCAAGCAGAGGGAAGAAGGCATGCGCTGATAGCCTCCTATATACACCGTAAGTATCATTACACGCCAGCTGTGATCATAATGGGATCACGAGACAAGGAAGGAGATGAGTCGCGAGACCCCCCGCGTGACGTCGTGCAGCTTGTCGTATGTGCTATTGGACTGCGGCACGGCGGTGACAATATGCGCAGGTTTGTCACAAACAAGAAAATCAAGTAGTGATTCGCCCGTAGGATGCCACGGCCCCCGATTGTTGATGAATTACTCGGCATAACAGCTTCCCTTGGTGATATCGGCCAGGGGTTGGGCTCACGATGTTTGCTGTGTCGAAAGTCTAAGTGATGGGCCCGAATGTGATTGTGACGAGAATCGGACCCCGGAAGAGCCGGGATTGGCACAAGAAGCGCCCAGCAAACAGATGGGATCCCAGAGGCACAAGTGCGTCGGTGCACAGCAGCCAATCACAACGCCATGTTGACTGTTGGTCTAGTTCAGGATCTGCGACCGTCCACAGCCATGGTGACGAGTAATAGTATCGTGCATGAGGTCTTTGTGATTATCTCGAAGCCAGGGATGAGATCACGCCCCGGATTTGAGATTGAATGTTGAAGGTACGGGGAGTTTGGGGGCAGGGAGGAGTGGAAAGACCTCGAAGATCGTTTGGCTGAAAGGCCGTATGATTGCCCGCAGCTAGGTGCAGCACGGCACCATTGAAAACGACATGAAACGATGCTTGCGGAAGATGGGGGCGCTCATTAGCAAATGAGATACCTATGTGTTTGACTGCGTGATTGTGTACCTGTGCGCCCTTAAGATGGTCCCGTCCCGCCTTGCAGATGTACCTCGGCCTATGTGTCCGACGGCCAACAATGTGTTTGTGTTCAACTGAAACCCTGTCGAAGGGTTCTCATTGCCTCGCAAGCAAAAAGGTAAACAGCATGGGCGTCCTCGAGCAAACCCCGGTGCCTTGGTTTTGGGAGCATGGAGCGGACGTTTGTGATTGATGCAAACCCGTTGATTCGCAGTACCCCCGATGAGATTCATCACGATATGTTTGTGATGCCATGAGACATGCAGATCGCGTGGCGTTTGGGCCAGCCGGAGAAGGCAGGGGAAGATGTGGTTCATCGACATAGTTGGGAAGGATGCACTCCGTACACTACGTACGTAGTACCTGTATGCGATACTTTAGCCCGACCGGCTCGAGCCCGCTTAACCTCGGGAGGGGCCGATGCTAGAGATAAGGGTTGAAGATATGCGGTGCTCCGCAGTGTAGGTAGGTAGCTGGCGAGTGCGAAGAGGAACAAGCAGGAGAGCCCAGGTAGTGTACATGTATAACAAGAGGGAGGGGCATATGATCGGGGTCGGGTGGGTACGAATGACACAGCGGGGTAATGCGGCGAAAGGAAAAGTGGTTCACGTGCATCCATCCTCCCAAAGCGGTGTGGTGTTGCCTGTGGACGGCTACGGGCACGTAGCGTTAGTGTTCGCCGCGGAATGTGTTTGCCGGTAGCCCCTGTCTACCAAGGTAGGTAGGTAGTCATGTATCCGTACCGCACCTTCCTAAACACTGAAGGAAGGAGGCACCATACACATACAATACCTACAAATATGGCAGGCACATCAGTACGTAATATTAGACAAAGTCAACCATCCCATCGTCAAATCGAGTTTTGCTGACACACCCAATATTGATCCCCATTGCGCATTGATGCCAATCCGATCCTTGTGAGCGACTGCGGAATGGCAATCCTTGTCTCGGGGAAAAAAACACCCTCGCCGACCGCTTTGCTCCATCTGCCAATCCGCTCCGTCGCCTCTAAGAATGCCATAATAGATTCCAACTTTCGCCATCGTCTAAAGCGACGACTAGTCAGCCATTGTGTGACAAATTACCCCATTTTTTTTTTACATGGTCTGGCCCGGGGCGGTTGCAGCAAACTAATACCGGCATTATTATCCATCCCATCACCGCTCTTTTTTATTCCGACCTTGTCTCTCTCTCACATACACACACACACACACTCTCTCTCTCTCTCCCCACGTCGCACCCATCCCCTCTACCCCGTCGCCAATTTGTGCGACTTGAACTTGACACACTCTCAATCTCCCCAGGAACGCCAAAAAAGCAAAAAGTCCGTTTGTTGTCGCCAAGTCCACTGCAACCTCCGGGAGTCGATCTGCGTTTTCGAGCCTTCCATCTCTAGCCCCGCCAGTGTCGCACCCGGGGGGTCTCATACCGCAACCCCTCGCATGTTTTTTCTCGGTTAGCCTGTAACGTCTTGTTGTTTGGGGTCCTACGGTGCGAAAATGTCAGGAAGCCGACCTCCGCCAAGCCGCAGTCCTTCTTCGCAAACAACTCATCGCCCAGCGAATCCCAGCGCCCTGCGCCAGAGCTATACGATGGGCTCTCCTATCCAGTCTCCTAGCTCTCTCGGCGACGAGTCCGAATACCTAAGCACTCGCGAAGATGCCACTCCGCTCGCCACTCCCCTCGCCACTCCGCTTCCCACTGACAACGAATTTCGCGGTATCCGTCGCCCTGGTGCTGGTCCTCCCCGATTGAATACCTCCCCGCCAAGCGAGTCGACGAGTCTTCTTCAAAATGTCCTCATCGACAGCCCGTCTTCCAACAGCTATCCTCATGGCACCTTTTCTCCCCGGCCCCTGAGCTTTGTCGGGAGCGACCAAGCCTCGTCTTCGGCGTCTGAGATCCCCGTTCTTAACCCCATGTTGACTGCCATCACCGGCGACGACCATTGGAGGAAGCGCTTCATGAGGAGCATCAAGAGCAAGAAGATGCATACCTCGAACACCCTGGCAGAGCAGGCCGGCCTTAAGGGCAACCTCTGGATGTAAGTTTGCATGTGCCAGGGAATACACGGGTTCGCTGGTTAACAAAAGTCTGCTTTGCAGGTATCTCTCCTACTACATTCCCCTCCTGACATGGCTGCCCCAATACAAGTGGTCCTACCTGAAGGGAGATCTCGTTGCAGCCTTGACTCTTGCGTCCCTTTACCTGCCAATGGCTCTCTCGCTTGCCGACAACCTGGCGCATGTTCCTCCGATCAACGGGCTGTATGCCTTCGTCTTCAACCCCTTGATCTATGCCATATTCGGTAGCGCGCCGCAGATGGTTGTCGGCCCGGAAGCTGCCGGCTCTCTGTTGGTTGGGTCCGTGGTCAGAGGTAGCATCGACAAAGACCAGGGCGACGAGTACAATGCCGAGGTGCAGGCCAAGATTTGCGGAGTAGTAGCGGGCATGGCCGGTGCTACAGTTTTGATCGCCGGACTGGCTCGATTGGGCTTTCTTGATAGCGTTCTCAGCAAACCTTTCCTGCGAGGCTTTATCTCTGCCATTGGTTTCGTCATTGCCGTTGACCAGGCGATTCCTGAGCTCGGCCTTGTCGAGTACGCGGCGGAAGCGGGCGTGAGCCACGGGAGTAGCATGGACAAGCTGGAATTCATCCTCAACTCTTTCGACCATGTCCACAAGCTTACCTTCATTGTTGCCGGAGTCAGCTTTGTGATCATGATGACGATGAGAGAAGTCAAGAAGCACCTCCAGCCCAAGTATCCGGGCTTTGCCTACATACCCGATCGCTTCTTTGTCGTCCTCATTGCCGCCATCCTGTCTTGGTACTTTGACTGGGGTAGCAAGGGTGTCGAGATCCTAGGACCCGTCAAGGCGCCGTCGGGACATCTCTTCGCCTTCCGCTGGCCTTTCCAGACTGCCCACATGAAGCACATCCGCGAGGCCATGGGCACGTCCTTCCTGATTGCGCTTCTGGGCTTCTTCGAATCATCCGTCGCGGCCAAGAGCCTGAGCAACTCGGATGCTGTACAAGGGATCCAGCTCAGCCCCAACAGGGAACTCGTGGCACTGGGCGCTGCCAACGTTGTTGGAGCCTGCTTCATGAGTTTGCCTGCCTTTGGCGGTTATGGAAGAAGCAAACTGAACAAGCAGACGGGTGGCAAAACGCCCATGAGCTCCATCTTTCTCAGCATGATCTCGCTCTTCGCCGTGTTTTTCCTGCTGCCGTACTTTGCCTACCTGCCGGTATGTCGGTCCGTCTTGACAGGGGTCCTCATTCGCTAACACAGTCAGAAACCTGTTCTCTCATCCATGATCACGGTGGTGGCCTGGTCACTGCTCGAAGAGGCTCCTCACGACATCGCCTTCTTCTTCAAGATTCGAGGTTGGACCGAGCTGGCGCTGATGGCCATCATTTTCGTCTCGACAATCTTCTACTCGCTTACCCTCGGCATGGCCATTGGGGTCGGCCTATCTCTGCTCCAGGTCATCAAACACTCGACTCGCCCTCGCATCCAGATCCTGGGCCGCATCCCCGGCACGCATCGCTTCGAGAATGCCGAGTTGAACCCCGACAGGCTGGAGTTTGTCGAGGGCTGCTTCATTGTCAAGATCCCGGAGCCCTTGACCTTTGCCAACACGGGCGAGCTGAAGGCGCGCCTCCGGAGGCTGGAGCTGTACGGCACGAACATGGCGCACCCCGCCTTGCCGAGACTGCGGGGTGAACATCATAACAAGAACGTCATCTTCGACATTCACGGCGTGACTTCGCTGGACGGCTCCGGCACCCAGGTGCTGCTGGAGATTGTGAGCGGGTACAAGGAGCGTGGCGTCAGGGTGTTCTTCAGCCGCGGCCCCACCAACCCGCGCCATCACATCTGGAGACTATTGAGGCAGGCGGGCATCATCGACCTGGTCGGCGGGGAGTCGCACTTCGTATCTGATGTCCAAGAAGCCTTGAAGATGACCGAATTGGAGAGCAGTGTCGACGAAGATACGAACCCGTAAACGGAGCGCTTTGATTCTCACCGACTTTTCTTCATTTTCCCCCGGAGTGGTTTGCATTTAGAGTGGGCGTTTGGAAACCAGCATTCGAAGCGGAAAAAAAGGCGTCACGACTTTCACTTCTTGGATAGTATTTCTACTGGTCTCCCGGCACGAATGTTGTATGTTTCACGAGGTCATCACGAACGTTATGGACACGTACATAGACAGTATATAAAAGGCAGTGCGCATTCGAATTTCCAGAGCGGACCTCACCAAATGCCATGAATACATGTCGTGGCATCGTAGAAACGTAACCTCAGCACGTCCTCGGGGGGTGAATGATTAAGAAAAATACACGCTTGGTGGTCATACACTTGGTTTTTTTTTCTTTCATTGTGCGATGCATATTCTCCTCATACAGTAAAATTGCCAACAAGGTGGGGGGTCCCTACTGATTTATACGACCTCGTTGACAAACAAACCCGCCATGCCCTGTCCCGTACCAATACACATACTCGTGAGCAGGATCTTCTTCTTGGTCCGGCGCAGCTCGCTCAGGCCCGTGACGATCTGCCGCGTGCCGGTGGCGCCGAGGGGGTGGCCGAGGGCGACGGCGCCGCCGCGGGGGTTCATCTTGGCCCAGTCGAGGGCGAGGGTGTCGCGGCAGTAGACTGCCATGCTGGAGAAGGCCTCGTTGATCTCGACGACGTCGATGTCGTTGAGCGACAGGTTGTAGTGGGAGAGCAGCTTCGGGATGGCGATGGACGGACCGATGCCCATGATGCGCGGGGCCAGGCCGGCGATGGTGGAGCCGACGTACTTGGCCAGGATGGGCTGACCGAGCTTGACGGCCGTCGAGCGCTTCATGAGGAGGACGGCGGCGGCTTTTTGGAATTGCGCTTGGTCAGCATGGTGTAGATTGAAAAAAGAAATGCATGACAGAGGAGCAGATAAAGGAGAAGAAGACAGAAAGGTGCGTGAACTCACCTCCGTCAGTGACCTGACTGGCGTTGCCTCCCGTGGTGGTGGGACCCCATTGGGGAAAGGCGGCGCGGATCTTGGCCAAGCTCTCGGGGGTCGTGCCGGGCCGGATACCCTCGTCCCTCGTGAGAGTGACCTCCTTGGCCTCACCGTCGGGGCCGATGACCTTTGTCTTGATGGGCACGATCTCGTCGTCAAACCAGCCGGCCTTCTGGGCCTTCTCGGCACGCTGGAAGCTCTCGGCGGCGTACTTGTCGAGCTCTTCGCGGTTGAGGCCGAAGTCGCGCGAAACGTTCTCCGAGGTCCAGCCCATGGGCTGCATGCAGTCGGTGGCCTCCTGGCTCTGCGAGGTGACGGCCTCATCAAAGGGCTTGTCGAGGGCGTCGCCGCCGACGGACATCTGCTCGGCGCCGAGTGCGATGCCGACCTCGATGTCGCCGGCGCTGATGGCGTTGGCGATGTCGGCCGTGGCCATGAGACCCGACGAGCAGAAGCGGTTCAACGAGTAGGCACCGGCGGTGTTGGGGAAGCCCGCTGCAAGTGCGGCGGCGCGGAGCTTGTAGGCGGCTTTGCCATCCGAGACCTGGCGATCGGGGGGTCAATTGCTGTGGTAAATGTTTGGGGGAAAGCCGTCGCGAGTGCGTCGTCACAACATACATTGCCCATGCAGATATCCTCAACCACGGCGGGGTCGATCTTGGATCGCTCGCGAACCTCCTTGAGGAGGGCGTAGATCATGTACTCGAGGGTCGTGTCCTTGAAGCCACCCTTCTTGGCCTTGGCCAGAGGCGTGCGGATGGCTAATGTGATGACGATATCATCGGGGTTCTTGGATTGGCTGTACAGAGACGAAAACGTCAGTCGCTAGTTGGTCCGTAAGGGGAGGGATCGAAAGTGTATTTGGGGGGAGGGGGGACGGCGACAATCACATGTGCGGACGGACAGACGTACATCTGGTTGATGGCACTTCCTGGGGCCAGGTGCTTTACAATGGAGCCGATTCTCTCGAGAGCCATGATGTCCGATGGGGGAGGGTATAATGACTGTGGTCGGAGTAGTAGCAGAATAAAGGGGGGGGATAATAAAAGAAGCAACAGAGGAGAAATAAGCTCAAGAGTTTCCGTCTTTGGTCATGGAAGAAGGGAAGGCGGGGAGGGGGCCATAAAGTAGACGACGTGGTTCATGGCGGCTTAAGCTGCCGGCAACCGCCCCCCAAGCGTATCCCCCGGCCAAGCGCAGCGGCTGTGGGGGAATGACAAACGGACCGAGGCATCTCGGTCACTGAGTCGGACCAGTAACGTTTCAGCGTCCAGGTAGCGCTGAGTCTGGGGTACAGTAGCGCGCACGAGTCGTTACCGCGTGTTAGAGATTGGCCGGCCAAGGGACCTGCTCACTAACAGCCACCATCATCAGCGTATTAAAGCTCTTCTCGACTTTAAAGATGCTTTCCTGGAGGCCCATCTACTTGGTCAACGTCTAGACCTTGTGCTTTTATGAGTCCTACGATGAATGCCCTTACAGAAAAAAATGTCCTATATCGGGAAGAAACGCTCGGTATGGCATACGAGTGTGGTTCTGAGGGCGCGACCATGACCATTGATTGTGCTGTAGCCTTTGGTCGATATGCCGACTTTAGCCCGAGGGTAAATACAACCAACGCATTGATAGCATAGCCGGGGATGCAGGGGCAACACAAAAAAAAAGAGAGAGAGAGAGAGAGAGAGATCCCAGTTGAGATCTTTTATATTCATTCATGTCCAAGAACTCTTGAATATATTCTCTCATACCGTTTCAAATCCGCGGGGACTACATGCGCCCATCATCTATATACATCCTGTTCGCCCCCATTCTATGTATGCTCCGGTTCGACAAATAAAAAGATTACAAGTACAAAACTCATGTCGGGGAATTGCCTCTATATCCCATCCGTATATGCGGCAGATTATCAGTTGATGCCGGTACTGTTTCCGATTCCATGTCGTGATGAGGAAGTGAATCCTTTTCGAAGTGCTCTCATTATGTATCTACGATGGTCATTTGAATCATGAGGTGAGGGTGAATGCAACACCGGCAATGGTTGCTGCCAGCGCAGCAAGAATCGGGGCGCTGCCTCGGGCTGCAGCACTGTTGCTTCCAGACTGGGGATTGACTCCGGTAGCGCTCATTCCCAGGTACCATGCGCCAATGTCGGTAAGCTTGCCGTCGTTGTTGAGGAAAGCACTGTTAGGGCCGACGTTGCTCGTCTTGGAACGGAAGGCGCCAAAGTAGGAGTACCGCTCAATGTAGTCGATGCGATCAAAGTAGTCGGCGCTCATGTTGTAGAACTCCTGGGCGTTGGAAAGATCCTGGTTGGCGTAGGCGTACTCGGTGATCCAGATCTTGGTGTCGGGGAAACTGCAGGTTTTGTCAGCGTCGTGAGAAGCAAGACGGGCTACCGAGAGCGTTGGGGGGGGGGGGGGGGGGGGGCACATACTTGGCAACGCGCTCGCCGATATGGCTGGCAAGACCGGCAAAGTTGTCATACCAATGGACGGGGAGGAAGTCGTAGGTGCAGTTCTTCTTATCCCCCCCCGCGCTGATAATCTCAGAACAGTTGCCCAGGAACTGTTTCAACCACGGCAGCCCGCCTGGAGCGCCGGTGCAGGCAGGCAAGCCGACCTTGACGCCGAGCTCCTGGAGAGGGATGAAGTTGGCGACCCAGGCTTTGGCGGCGACGGCAGGGGCGATGTTGCTGCCGCCGTACTGCGTGGGCCCGTCGGGTTCGTTGAAGCCTAGGGCGTGGGTGATGTTGATGCCCTTGTCGTCGATCAAGCTCTGGACGCTCTTGAGGAATGTAGTGTCTTCAGGGTTGGACGAGACACCCCACATCATGGGGACGAACTCGAATCGGTCCTGGGGTATTGACGAGAAGGCCGGGCTGGGGATCTCCTGGTAGTTGTAGTACCATGTCAGGTCGGAGCCCTGTTGGACCCAGACCTTGTTGTCCTGGGGCCAATTGGGGTTGGGAGTGAAGACGAGACCGCGTTTCGAGGACGACGTTGCTGCCACGAGGGGCACAAGGGCGAAGAGGAATGTGGGGATCATCGTGATGGGCGGCGCAAGTGGGTGAGACCCTGTCGTTGGTTGGCAGGTGCAACGGCGACGTGAAGATTCGCGACGTTTGGACAATGGGAGCTGGATATGGACCGCGGAGACTGCGAGCTTGTCGACGCGATTTTCAATTGAACGAGCGTGGAAGAGCACTTGCAGGTCGGGTATGCAACGAGCACTGGAAGCGAGCGATACAGGATAGGAATGCTTAAAGGAAGAAGGATAGCAATTGAGCGACCGAACAAGCAAGCATGGGAATTCAAGGGCCAAATGGAAAGCAAGCGAGCAAAAGACGAGGAAGGGTGGGAGCGGGAGAGGAAACGGGATGGGCGGACAGGTGCCTTTGTTTTCATTGTCTCGCAGCCCTGGAGCCAAGACCCAAGTTCCCAAGCCCAAGTCCCAATGGGAAGCCAAGATGAATGGTGATGCAAGTAAGCTAGATAGCTAGACAGATAGCGTGGATGGTTGCCCTTTGTGGTTACCTTGATAAACCACTAACCTACCTATCGTATCCGTACCTACTTGTGCGGGAGAGAGGGGCCGAACCCGTCCCATGCCATGTCCCGTTCTGTCGGGGCAGGCCTTGTACTAATATTGGCAGTGGCGTTGGCCTTCGTTCAGGTTGGCGTTTTGGATACTGGGACCGGCGTGCATCAGTAGCGCCTCTGCGAAAAACACCGGCCGCTGGCTGGACAGCAGGTCAGGTCTTCAGCTCAGCTTGTAGCGTCGCCTTATCCGAATTTAACCATACCATACGAGAAGCGGGCTCGCCTGTCCATTAACGCCTAAAGGTGATGATATCCTTTGTCCCTCGGACTTGGCAGCGAGGCCGAGACTCGCCCTCTCCTTGGCCAATGAGGGCGACATGCGTCCAGCAAAGAGCAATCATTACCCCTGGACACACATGGATGCTCGGCGTCTCCCTTATCAAGATTACCGGTAGGCATACCTACTGCAGAGCATCTGGATGGATGGATGGATGGATGGATTGATGGACGGGTGTTTAGCGTGCCTAGTGGGACGTGTGTCGCAGGGATAAATGGATGACGGCCGCAGGAACGGGTAGCGTCTTGTTGAGGCACCTAGATGCTAGGTACGTAGGCAGGTACGTAGGTAAGCTGGTAAGGAGCGAAGGAACGATGAAAACAAGACCTGCCTGGAAGGTACCCTGAGCTGAGCGTGCGTGTTCTTGCCTCGTGTGATACGATACGACACGACATGGGCTTTCTCGGCCAGCGCCACTCATCAAACGAAACAGCCACTTGGATACGTACCTCACTCACAACCTAATATGTACCTACGCACGGCTTTAACTCAACCGGGCATGGGTCTTCCCTTCCGAGCCCTGCCTCATCTAGCCCCGCCGCTCCTTCACTGTGGTCTCTGTGTTCATGCCCTACATGCACCCCTAAATTTTCACCGTCCTGCGTGCCGGCCGTAGGAAGATATGCTGCTGATACAGCACACCTTCACCAACATAACAATGTGGAACAGCTTATGGGTCGACCTAACTGCAATCTTGATTACCAGTTCTTCTACCATGCATGATTTTGTTGTTTTCCCAACGTCAGAACGAAAGCTATTTCGTCCGGTGATGGCGAAAACTGTAGGCTTCTCGAAAACTACATGGTCTTATTCAAAATCCAACCCAAGATGAAAACTAGTCTGCTGTCCAGCTTCACAGACAGTCTCAGGGCTTCCCGTCCAGACAACCTGTCCTATAATATGTTTCAACCAAGGCTAACCATAGCAAATGGTGATCTACAAAACACATGACAGAGTCCATTCTACCTGTGAGGCTGCATATAATCCCAATATCGCCAGCATTGTGGACGCATACACGAGAAGCTAAGTAGGAGAGAGTATATACTCTTTCACATTAAAAGCCCCAACATAGAAGCTCAGAAAAAAAAAAAAAAAAAAAAAAACAGTCAACGACTTCGTTCAAGACGTTGCACGATGGGCAATCGTCGAGGTTGAATCCTAGCAATGCTTACTCGACAAGCTCCTCATACGACGCCCAGTCCGGTGGACTGCAACTGACACGCCAGACAAAGGCTACATGTGTCGACCTGAGCTTCCACACGCCACGGGACGGAAGGGCCTTGTCAAAAGACCGCTTGAGAAACCCGGTCACGCACCGACAGCGCAATGTCGATCCTACGCAGTTTTCTGCTTCTCACTCAGGGCAACCTCATGGTTTCTGCTGAGACTTATGGCCTTGGTGGACCCCGACACAATGCTGCCGAAGATGGCTCAGTAGACCCGGGCCGATCAACAAAGCCGCCACGCGCCGCACGGGGTCCAACGGGTGACTGCCGGAGACTTCAAAGCCATCTTCCTGGCCGCCCTGTTGAGCCAAAAGCTGGAATCTCTGCAGGCGTTCCGAGAGGATCTCGAAGACCCAGCAAGACTGAATGCTCTTTGAGAAGCAACCCCGATCCAGCGGCTCTTCGTGGCGTTCGGTATAGTTAACTTTGAGCAGCACATGGACGGTGGCAACCTCCCAGGTAGCTGTAGTGGATTCTCGGGGTGGTGGTATACAGCCCGGCTGCTTGGCGGCAGCGGATCAGGGATCTAAGGCTTGCCCAGCACTCAATAGAGTGTTTTTGGATGCAAATTGCGGCCTGGATCCAGCAGCCACAAGGTACCAAGTTTTAGATGGCACTGACCGACGAAGAGTAGGGCGACAAGAAGAGACAGAGGCCACAGCACCGAAGAGGGAAGAACTTTAAGATTACTACCCCGAACAAAGTCTTGCAGAGGCGGAAAATGACGGACCCCTCCGCCCTCCGGCGACACTTGCAAGATCCGAAGACTAGCGGCGTACATATACACTCCCGCAAGTTCATGATCGACATGATATGCGGCACCAGCACAACTCTGCAGCCCGGAGGCTACAACGAGTCGGCCTTCGCATACCGATATGCCACCGGCGCTTCCGGTATCACCATCGGGCATGTGCCGGACCACATCAGGATGAGCACCTTGGGAATTGCCGGCCACCACATGTTTGAGAACTATGACCCCGTCGTTCAGGAGGCGAGCCCGGTACGACAGCAGAGAATCCCCATAACAAGCCGGGCCGGGTCGCAGACCAAGACTACGCGAATACTATTCGGTCACGGCAAAGCGGGGGGCATCAACTGGAACGGCGTCAGGAGCCTCATCGCGGCTCCCGGGTTCGAGGTGCGCAAGGAGCGATACTCGAGCCACATGATTGCGTTGACCGAAAAGGTCCGGGCTCCGCGACTGCCTGTGTCGAAGCCGAGTACCTGCATCCACCCTCCCCACCCGCAAACCACCGGGATCTCGGAAGACACTGGTGCTCGTGGCGACAGCAGCTTGACGCGTTCTTCAACGTCGACAAGGTCAAGATCGGGGCGTACGACCAATTCGCAGGCGGAGGCTGACATGAAGGGTAAGAGATGCATGCGATTATTCGTCCGCAGTTGCGCGTTGTGCGGATCCGGATGCCCGGGATAGGTGTTGTGGCGTGTTGTTCTGGACTCGTCGACGCCGGCACTCCCGCTACCTCGGCCGAGAACGGCATATCTCCTCCTCCCCGTCCTCTCCTCTGGCTGGCCACAGCCACGAAACCCCCGCCGCTCGACGAGGAACACGTAATCCCCCTGGAGGAGGAGGAGGAGGAGGAAGGACAGCGGAATTATGTAGGATGGCGACAAAGAAACCCGCCCGACCTTTGCACCCCTCCCCCGCCGCGTTGCTGCCCTTTTGAAGGGTCTGCTGGTCGATGAGCGCGGTGCCTTGGATGGAATACATTTGTTATAGAAAGGGGAGGAAAGGAGGGGGATTGTTGGGCTCATTCGGGTATGAAGGGTGTACGGTTGGAAGCCGCATCACCATAGTGAACGAATGTTTCTTTCGACAGAGTTGCCGACTCGGTATTTGGTGCTGGTATCCAAATCCACGTCGCGCCCGCGCTTCCTTCGTATCACTGCAACGGCATCATCCCATAGTGAACTACATGTCTGCATTGCTGTACCGTGTCAAGACATGGGATATCATATGGAATCGCCTCAGCTGGGGCTTGGTGACGTCTACGTTACAATCACATGGCCAGTATAACAGGTTTAACAATGTCAAAAGGATTATGATTATCAGGAGACTATCCCATATGTAACATACCGAAAACCCAGTTGATCCCCCGAAACCAGTTCCAAAAAAGCAAAACGAAGGGTATAATGCTATGTGCAGCCCACCATGTTCTTGTTGTGTTCCCGTGTATCCGATTCCCGACCAAGTCCTGGTCTCCCGTCGTGCCGCCTCCCGCCCCCAGTATCCTGTACAATGGACCTCCGTAGCCGGGTCCGAGCCCATCCGCCGTCCCCCGACTCCTGTTCCCGATTCTCCCCGTTCTATTGCCTGGCCCATCCTTCCCTGTCACGCCCGTAGGAATAAATGCAGTTGTATGAAATGTATCAAAGAAGAAAATGAGAGGAAGAGTGTGAGAAATGGAGGTGTTGTAAATCGCGGTGTAAGTTGTGCCTTTGCAGCGTGTGGTGATCTGAGCGATGGGGGAAGAGGGAGGGGATTGTGTAACTCATTGCAGTGCATTGCATGTGTAGAAGGAGATAGCGGCAGTGGTTGTGAGATTACCGAGGCGCAAGTGTCGATAAGCGATGGAGGACACCGCAGAACCTGATGGCCAGGTTCGTTAGCGGTACGCCTAGGGTGTTTGGTCGCATCGAGCATTCGTAATCCAGATCGGCCGGGCCTTTGGGAGGGTGGCAGCGAGGATTCGTGTTTGGGGGAAAAAGATGCGCAAAAATGTAACCAAGTCTATCGCCAAATAGGCTAAACAGAAACGCCGGTGTATCCATCACTCTATCTGACACCAGGAGATGCCAACAACAGCGAGTTCTGAAACAAGGTTAAGAGACGTTCCGAGCGAGTGAGGAAGGATAGCGGTGTGGAATATTGTTGACAACCGATACGACGACGACGACTACAAGGCAGTCGCGGCCCGTGGAGGTACGCGCCGCTAGCGGCCTTGTTGTCGGATGGGACATCAGACCGCGCCCCCCACCCCGTATGCCGATCTCGGGGTCTGGAGTGTCCGCCCGAAGGTTCAAGTTGGAGGGTCGGAACGGCTGCATGTAAATAAGGTCAGCCGCGCCACCCGCGTCGGTAAGGCGACGCTATCGCCGCCAAGACAGGCTTTGGCTATTGAGGGGGTGGAGGAGCTTCCAGCCGTTGGCTTGGAAAATCGACTTCCTGGCGAGGCCGCCTCTTCCGCATGTCTTTTCCGTAATGAACAACCCATGTTCCCGTTTGGGGTGGCAGAGGGACACTACGATTCGGTGAGAAGCCGTGTGAATGGTTCGGGTATGCCCTTGGGATCCATGTACCTATGGGAGGCGGGAACGCCAATGCACGACCGAAGTACAGGCGGGAAAGCAAGCGAGTGGTCGGGAAGTGAGTCGCGTGCAGAGGCTGGCGGGCACTGGAATGGGAGCAGGCGGAGAAGGCGCCGTGCCGTTGGACGGCTTCCTGACGCAGATGATGTACGTCATGCACGCCGGACGGGTGCAGGCGACCCCCTCGAAAAGACCATCACCAGATACACCCCCAACCCATGATGAAATCAAAGTGCACAGCCAATGAGGGGTAAGCTTGAGGCTCTGGGCTCCAATGCGTTATCGATCCGCACACGAGCGAGGTGCTGTCGCGATAAGCTCAGTCGCACTGTCGTCCTTAGTGGCCAGGAGGATCGAGTCCGAGCCCCAATCCCTTCAACATCGTCATGTGTCGCCGAAAGGTTCATCCTTGATGAGTTTTGGCGGGGACAGGACAGGACAAAGAGGGACCACTCGAGCGATGCGAGGCGTCGATGCGTCGGAGAAAGTGGCTCGTCCTTCGATATTGATGCCGGGAAGTGGAGCAGGCGGTACGGGCGGGCGAAAGCGGGGCCTCAGTGGTCCGCCGACTCCATCCAAATCGGGAAAAGTGGATTCGACCACGATGACGCCTATTGGCTTGCGCCACAGCAGCTGACAGACAGCCCCCCCCCCCCCCCCCACCCCTCCCTCCAACGACCCCACCCATCCACACGGGGACAGACACGACGAGAGTGACTGACTGACTTGACCGGGGAGAGGGACTAAAATAAGGAGAAAAAGGATGTGCGTGTGAGAGAGAAAGAGTAAAAGTGTGTGAGTGTGTGAGTGTGTGTGTGTGTGTGTGTGTGTGTGTGTGTGTGACATGTGAAGGGGAGGGGAGGGGATGGGGGAAACATCCGCGGACCCCTACACCCTCCTGCTCTCGCACTCAACCCACCCAGTATCCCAGTCCAAGGTGGTAGCCTGCCATCCCCAATCAAGTCAACGACGTGCAGCTTGCACTCCCCCCCGCCGACGTCTCTTGATGCTTCTCTCAGCTTGTCGTTTGCATCCCGTACTTGGTCCCTCCTCTTGATCCCATGGCCATGTTCACGCGCTCGCCTGCCCGCACACCCACCCCTCGTACCCCTGACAGTAGTGGTGACTCATGCCCGTCATTCTTACCACGACTTCTCGCTAGGCTTATCACGTTTGTGCCTCACAAGACGCGAAATCCAATTGTCGCCCTTCGTTTCCGAGAGCCGTCCCTCACCTGGTCCACAACCATGCCACCCTTCCCTCACTCCCGCCTGCAGGCCTCACGGCTTCATGCGCGTTGCGCCCCGTCCCCGTACCCGTCACCACCGTAGACTTGGTGACTGGGGGCATGGTGCGTATTCATGGGCTGATACTGCTCCGCGTATGTCGTAGGCGCGTGCATCGCCGGTATCGTAGGATCCCAGCGTCCCGAACCCATCGAGGGTGCGTGATGGTTCCCAAGTGGCGCGTGCATCCCGCTGCCGTACGAATGCGTCGTCATCGACCGGTTGTCGTAACCCGTCACTGCTGGCAAAGGCGCAGCGAGGCGGAGTCCGGATTGTCGCGGGGATACCGCTGTGAGTGCTGGCGAAAGATTGCGAGGGCCTGGTCCCGTCGAGTACGCTGGCCAGCTGTGTGTGCTGCCGCTGATTGATCTCGGAGATGTCAACCCCTCTTGGTGAACATGCGAGGCGACACCGTACGATCCGACATGGTCCGAGGCGACATTCGGCGCCGGCGGCGTCGGAAGTGGCGGGGGGTATGCACTGACTGGTGTTGGCGTCAAGAGATGAGATGCCGGCAATGTCGAAGAGGGGCTGGCGCTGTATTTGCCAATGATCTTTTTGAGTGCTGACTCGAGGATCTTCCATGGGAACACCTTGACATCCTTCTCAATGTTTCTTGGTTTCGGGTTCGGGAATGCCATGATGATCTTGAAGAACTCCTCCGAGTCCGCCTTGGCCTTGCTGACGGTCAACGGGCGGAAACCCTCGAGGTTGCGGCGAATGCGGTTCTTCTCCTCGACCGTGAACCTGGCCGGAGCGACAACGAGTTGCTCAAGAAGGTAGATGGTGTCCACCGATGTCACGTAGCATTCGTTCTTCTCGGCCCACCAGATGCAGCTGATGCAGATGCTATTGGGTGGTCGCTCGTTGACGTTGACCGATCGGAAGCTTGTGGTCAGCGTCGATCCCGTCTGTTTCTTGTTGAACATGACGATGCGTCGGCGGTTGGACCATTCCTCCGGCGTCCAGTCCACTGCCATGGAGTCGAGCTTCCCCTGAATCTTCAGGACGGCCTTGTTGGAGTAAGAGCCCCAGTGGTTGTACCCCGATTGCTGTCCTCCCCCAGGTGAGCTGGGAATAGAGCTGGTCCGAACGAGCTGAGGGGTTGTCGCAGAGGGCATGGGCAACGGCGTCAGACTTGGGCGAGATATCTGCGTGTGTGTGATGGGGGGGCCCGGCGTTCTTCCGTACGCCTGCCATCCCGCCATGGGCGGGCGGAGCGGCGGCGGCACCGCACGCGAGTAGTGTTGCTCCGCAAAGGAGTTGGTTCGATAGGCACTGAGCATATTGTTACCGTTGTTGTGATCTTGCGAAAAGTTGCTCCCATAGGGGGTTGGTGCCGGTTGCTGCGGCGCCGTTGCAAAGTCGTACGTATTTGTACTGGCCTCGTTCCCCAGCTGAGTGCTTGCTGACCTGGGGGACTGATGTTGTTGCTCAGGTGACTTGGACACCTTCCTCGTGATGTCGTCTGAGCTAGCACCTGGGCCTGCTTCGTGATATACAAACTGCCCTGCCGCAGTCCTCGAGACTTCCTCGCCGCTCTCGGTTTCAATCAGGAGCGTAACTGGCACGTTCTCATTGTTGCAGCTGGTGACCCCAAATGGCGGCGCCTCGGCTGAGATGGTCAGCATGTAGCCGTTGCTGTCCTGAGAATCCTTCATTGCATGCCCCGAGACCTTCTGCACCCCGAAAACGAGAAATAAGTACGGTGACATGCCGAGGAGATCGTACGGCGACGAAACTTTGACCATGACCTTTGTGCCAGCCATCCCGGAGCTTGGTTGGCAGGACACGACCGATGTGCCTACGCCGACAGGCATGTACGAGCCGACCGCGCTGTTGGCTGCAAATGCATCCTGGTTCATTTGGGCTGCGGTGAGCTGAGCCGCACCGCCGTGCTGGGCGGGATAGCTTTGCGAACCATACTGCTGGTAGGCAGCTTCCTGATACCCACGGGAGGCATCATACCCTGTAAACAAGCACGGGGTGCGTTAGCCAAGTGACCCCGAACATCGAGACAGGTTTCTTCTCGTGGTTAAAGAGACCAAGAAGCTTTCCAGACCCGCGTGAGAGCAGTAGAGCTTACCGTGGATTGGGCCAGCCTGTTGTTTACCGTAGTGGGACATGGGGAGGAGACCACCTGGCGGGGAGTCGCCCCGAAGGTCTCCGTTTGCCCTTGCAACTGCCTCTTCGTACTTGAGAGTCACCGTCTCGGGCGAGTCGAGGCCTTCCTCGCCGATGATGATTGGTCTTTGAGGGTGGAAGTCGGGCTGTTTTGATGAAGCACAACAAGTCAGCCTTGCAACACTCTTTGAACCAACTCGGGCCGGCCACTCTAGCTATGCTTTCTCAACTGCGTCTCGGAAGTGGCTCGGTTCCACACTGTCCAGAGGGCTTGACTCACCTCGAAATGCTTGTAGGAAGCACACTCAAACTTCGCAGCAGACATTCAAGCTGTAGAGATGGGTGCACCTGGGAAAGGATGTCTGGTTCGGTGTCGGGGAAATGCAAACCACTGTTTCGGGAGCGGTGTTGCAACGACAGGAGGAGGAACTATAGCCTTGTGGGACCGTCGAGGGACAAAGGGAGAAAGGGAGAGATATGTCTTGCGATCGCTGTGGTTAGAGACCCGGTCCAGTGTTATCGAGCGAGCCAAGGATAAGTGCGAGCCAAGGGAGGATCCCTAGTGGGTAGAGGAGCGTCAGTCTCAGAAGATTCTCCCGACAGGATTGGTATGAGACACCGTGCTCAGATATGTGGATGGCGTTTCCGAACTGGCTGGTGGCGCTGCGAATTTGAGATGATGGGCTCCACTGGTTTGCAAACCGCCGACGCGACTGGAATCGAAAGAGAAAGATAGGGAACTGCTGGATGGTTCGGTTCGGTTGACGTTGCCAGGTCAAAAATGAACGATGTCGGAATGAGAGAAGTTTGAAGAATTAGGAAGGCTGAGAAGACAGCCAGGACCAGCGATCTTAAAACCAAGACCCAATTCTTCGATGGCAGCTTTTTCGCAACAAGATTCAGATTGATGCAGCCGTCATTGGTCGCCGGGGTGCTGGCAAACCGAAATCTGAGATCAAGCTCCGGGAGGATCCAAAAATTCCAACGCAATGGTTACCAGTTGAAAGGCCTTCGCGCGGCTGGTCTATTCATTGGAATGGAGGTTAGCTAGGGTGTACTCTTTCTCTCTTGGTTGAGAGGTCGGTGCTCCTTGGCAGGAACTGCTGGCTGGATGGGCGGCAGGCCGCAGGACGAACCATCATCGGCTTCCTGCTGGAGTTCGTGGTCCTGCCACCAAGCGCAAGCGGAGGAAGGGGGGATCACGTACTCAACCGTTGAGACTGGGGCGCTTGCAAGAGCCGTGTCCAATGACGGGGCTCGGAGTCGTGGACAAACGGGATGATGCGGTTCGCGATGCCGAACGTGTGGAGCTGGACCAAGCTTCGTTTGTTTGTTCGTCCTGCAGACCGATGGCGAACCTGTTCGCGCGGGGACAAGAGCAAATTAGAAACAAGCTCCAAAGAACACCAAGTCCCAAGGTTCCGTAGCAGCACTTGTGCGTTTCCTTTGGCAGACGGGAGGCAGATATGCGGAGGCCTGGCAAAGCCGCCAGATATCGAGTGATGGGTGGACAGGGTGTGCGGGCGGGCTTAGAAATGGGTAGACTGCGAATGGAGATGGAGAGGGTGAGGGAGAGACGTGGACTCAGAAAGGTCAGACTCTGTCGCTGATTTTGTTGCGGGGGGGTGAAGGAGGTAGATGAGGAATGTTGACAAAGTACGGGCAAGTGGTGTTGCATTTCTCGCAAAAGTTTGATGGACAGATGGCAAGGCAATCGGCCGGTCTCCTTGCAGGGACGGGTACGTGTTATGAGCGTGAAGGGAAGACAACGACGAGTCTGTGGCGACACAGAGGTTGCGGCCGGGTAGATAGATGGATCCACACGAAAGGAACAGGGACCTAGCGAAGATGGTATTGCTTTTCCTCTGCTTGCCGCACTAACAGGAAGCTCACGCACCAATAGCTCTGTACGGGGGGGATCCTGACAACCCTCCCTTACAGTAGCACACCTGGTAGTTTCTTTTCCAGGAGGGCTCTAGAGGTCTCTTTCCCTGGTCAGTCGAGGTAGTATGGTCTACGGGTGACCTTCTGGTGGGGGAAGAAGCGGCCAAGGAGCGATCCAAGGCCGGGTACCATTTGTGGGGTTGAGGAGGGGAGAGAGAGAGAGAGAGAGAGAGGAGGGGGTGGGTGAAAAGGTACCGGGACGCTCAAGACTCAAGATATTTGCGTATGCAAAGAGAGACTGGGAGAGGAGAGCTGGGGCAGGGATAGGGCCGCCGTTGGGATGCGTGAGTGCAGTTGTCTTTTGAGCTGCAAGGCTCCATTGAACTGAAGAGAAAGGGTGGGGGAGCTGGAGTCAGTCCTCCACCAAGGTGGGCGCGTGTCGGAGTGGCTGTAGTTGTGGGCGATGAGGATGTGCGGGAACAACTGCTTCAGCTGGGCAGAGGTGGCATGCAGCCAGGGGACACTGGAGAGAGAGAAAGAGAGAGAGAAGCCGGGGGGGGGGGGGGGGGGTTGGCAAGGGCCTTGGAATAGGGCTGCCGCAGTGTTCATGTGCTGCTTGCTGCTCTGGTATGCTACTCGGACACAGCGAAAGAGCTTGGCAACTCTCTCTCGCCAGAGACGAGACACGGGGCTGCAGTGTCAAAAGGCTAAGAGAAGCAAGAGGAGGAGTCTCTCCTGTAAGGAGACTGAAGGGGGATGATAGACAGCTCGGATTAGGGAAAGAAAGGTACGGCTGTTGCAAGAAGAAGGGGAATGACAAATGACCAGGAACACCTAGGTACGTGTCGAGGAAGAGTGATGGCATGGGTCCGTAGCGGGCAGGAAAAGAGAGAAAGGGCGGGATTGAGAATAGAAAAAGGAATTATGGAGGATCCTTACTCGTCAAGATCGTCCGCGATGAGCGAAAGTGCAAGAAAAGCAGTGCCGGGGTACGCCCCAGTACGTACAGATGATGTGCGGACGTACAGATAGATGCTGCTGCGGATACTACATGCACCCAGTTGTTTGCGTGCACAGACTGGGGATTACAGGCCTCGCTGCTAATGTGAACAATCCGTGTAAGTCAATCCCGGTCTACCTACGGAGTATGTGGACTCGAAAGAGCAGAGTGGTGAGGGGGGGGTATAGACCTTGCCCGTCGTCGGCTTCGTCGTCGCTTGGCACACTGAATGGAATGGCCAAGAGGATGGTGGGAGAGGGAGCTTGGCCTTGACCTTAGGCTTGATCGAAAGGGATAGTGAGATAGCTGAGCTGGGCTGCAAAAGAGGAAGAGACTGGTGAGAGGAGAGGGGAGGGGTGTCTCACAGACGGACCCTTGGGCGTGTTTTGATCAACAATGCTATCCGGTAGAGCTGTGGGTGTCAATGTCTGTAAGCCTTGAGTTAGCGTGATTGGCCATAGCTCCTGTGAGCAGTTGCATCGAGCCCAATGAGCGGAAAGTATGGGATGAACAAGAGGAATGGGCTGTACTATGTAGACCGACTGTGGCATGTGGCCAGCATTAGGACGAACCGGGGCCGCTCTAACGGCATGGAGGGGTGCGGCGGTAGCCTGTGCAATCGGGACACGCTCCAGTGTCACTGGATCTGGCCTGGATACTACCGACCGGCTGAACCCTTGCATGCGTCCGTCCGCACCCAAAACCTTGCACAAGGCCTGTCAATCAATGTACAAGTACGAACGCCCAGGAGGGATACCCTAGCTTTGGGCGCCACATCATCCAATACAAACAAACCCTGGGTGCTCGTGTCGTTCAAAGGATGGAGGGGATGTGATGGAAGAGAAGGAGAGAAGGGGAGAGAGAGAGAGAGAGAGAGAGAGAGAGAGAGAGAGAGAGAGCGGGCATACGGCTGTAGAATCAGACTCGAGCCCATGCCTCCCCCAAGTGGCTGTATAGCTGGGGAAAAGGGTGCATTTTTGCTGGAACAGACATGGGAACTGGCGGGAAACCAGGTCTGAGGGGAGAAAGAGGAGACCGGGAGATCCGCGCAAAGGGATGTAACAGCTAAGGTAGGTAAGTAGCCTTACATCTGATTCAAAACCGTGAGATCCAGTGGAAGGCGTGGGCGTATGTATGTATTCGCTGGGGTCGACCTGTGTTGCGCGTGCGTGTTTGGTGTTTTGGTCAACCGGCCCCTTGTCTTTTTTTTTTTTATTACGCTTTCTAGACGATGCGGCTGAGGATGAGAACGACGGCGACGGCGACGACGACGACGACGAGGGTACAATGACTAACACTGCAGCACGGCAAGACCGGAAGGGCGTTGGCACAGGCCGCTGTCGTCTACGGCCAAGATGAGAGCTCGATGGAAATCTACAAAGATCTCAAGCCCGGCGAGCAATCTGGGCTGTACTTTTCCTGGAGCGAAATCAGTCATTTGGGGGTCACATTACTTGCTGGTGTCTCCTCAGCTTCCTGGGCTGCCGCGGCGCATCTGCCAAATGACGATCTTTGATGCCGCTGTGGAGTGGTTGCTAATTGTCCCGGCGGGGACAAAACGTCTGTCTTTCGACTAGGGGAAATGTACGTGTACTACTCACTCACTGGGGCTGGAAGACCACCTACAGGATGCTTACTTGTTTCTCTTCTCTGCTTCGGGCAACAGATCCTCAAGATCCCGACAGCCTTCCCCTGGTCCGTAGACGAAACGAGACGAAGGGTCGATGTGCACAGGCGAGCTTGGTGTCGTTGTTCCCCTCTCTTGTCACTCGTGCCTCGCTCCAACTTCCCAGTTTGTACGCGTGCGTTTCGGCGTTTATTGAGAGGGAGTGGGGGGGGGTTGATGTGATCTCGGAGCTTCCCTGGCCTCTCCCTAGCCTTTTTGTGCGCCTCCCCCGCCTTGCTTGGTCGTAGTGTCTTGCTGTCTTGCTGTCTTGCTGTTTCCTGCCACTATTATGATTAGTTATTGGCCAGCCTAAAAATGCTAATAGTGCAGGTGAGGCACTCGGCCCTGGTGGCGATCAGTGGATTCATCTTCCCGCTGGAGAATAGCGCGACTGTAACCTCGGCGGTGAAAGAGAAAGCTGTCGGGTCGGATCATTGAGAGAGACATAAGATTGAGCAAGGCTGGAGATTGCTGATGATCGGATCAGACATAGTTGCAAGGGACAGCATGTGCTCTGCATCTGATACCACTGCCGTGGCTCTTCGCTGTCTCCAGCGAGCCATCTTTCAGTACTCGATCTCTCTCTCTCTCTCTCACGCGCGCGCGCGCGCGCCTGCTCAGTGTGTGGGTGTGTGTGCGCGCACACACACACACCCCTTGCAGCCAGCAACACGACAGTGCAGCGAGTTTAAAGCAGCTGCATCTAGAGACGGGATGATCGACGACGGGAAGCAAGCCAGACGGCGACGCCTGTCGGGTGGTCCAATCAAGCTTG